AGGGAGAAAGGTTGTTTTCTGCTGCTCCAGAGAAGCGGACACGGAGCAATGGATCCAAACTACAAGAAAGAAGATTCCACCTAAACATTAGGAAGAACTTCCTGACAGTAAGAGCTGTTTGACAGTGGAATTTGCTGCCAAGGAGTGTGGTGGAGTCTCCTTCTTTGGAGGTCTTTAAGCAGAGGCTTGACAACCATATGTCAGGAGTGCTCTGATGGTGTTTCCTGCTTGGCAGGGGGTTGGACTCGATGGCCCTTGTGGTCTCTTCCAACTCTATGATTCTAACACCCAATGATCGTTTATAGAACTTTGCCAAGTGGGAAGTGGGATAGACAACCCCCTACTTGGGAAGAAACCCCATCACTGGGTTCTCTGCTTGTTGAATTTGGAATTGGAGGAAGGAGGGCGCTGGAAGCCATGGTGGTCTTGGGTCCTCTGCCTGAATGACTTAAATCTAAAATCCCTTGCCTATTTTGGTTTCTAAAGGAATGAAAGGATTGAGCTTGTGAATAAGGAAAGTAGCATCTGGACATATGCCTATCATCCTTTTGAGATACTAAGATTTTGCGTTTATCCTTAGACTCAATCAAGACATCTTTGAGAGCAGCTTCCCCAAACAACTGACCCCCAGCAAAGGACACAGTAGAGAGGTTTACTTTGGACACAGCTTCTGCATGCCAAAGTGTGCGGCGTGCCACTATTTGAGAGGACTTAGCTCTAATTGTAAATTGCATAGCATCCATAGTTGCACCTGCCATAAAGATTTGTGCTTGTAAAAGTTTAGAAAGAGTTTGGCATTGACGAACGGCATCTGGGGGAAGGGAGTGCAAAAGGTCCTTGAGCCACACAATGCATGCGTGTGCAGAGAAAGTTGCTGCACAAGATGCCCTTATAGATAGGGCAGCTGCATCATGGATTTTATGAAGTGCAAATTCCAACTTCCTATCGGTTACATCCTTCAATTGGGCGTCTCCCTCTTTAGGAACAAGAGTGAAAACAGGACTGTCTACTGTAGGTGTCTTAATATATGATATGAAGTCAGGATCCAGGTCATATAGTTTATCTGCTAGAGATAAATTCTTTTGGACTGCATAGGGGAATCCAACTCTGATTTGACTACTGTTTATAGCACTGAAGGAAGTAGCATATAGTTATATTTTGTGTGGTTATCAATGAACAAAGAAACTGGACTCTCAGAGGCAGGATCGGGAATTGTGGTAGATTTTGGGCCCATTCCCAATGCATTGCAATTTAAAATAGGAGCATTAGCTTCCTGGAACAATCTAGTGGAAATAGATTCCTCTTGGACAGAACTATCAATCCACTCTAGAAAGATGTTTCGGAAGAAGGTGCTACATACTCAGCATCAGATAAATCCTTCCTCATATAAGTAAATGGATTGGGAGAAGAGCCCCCCGCCCCCCGGAGATTTAGCCATAAGTTGAAAGGTCACCTTTTAACCACAAAGGTAGATTTTTTAGGTTGTATGTCACCTGTTAATGAATCACCTGTTCAATTGGAGTGGCTGGAAAGCTGAGGAAGCCTGCCTGGTCTGAGAGTTTGATGTTAAAGACTATTGTGCACCCTGGATTTCTTGGTCATCCGTGAATCCTAAAAATTCTATATCTTCTATATCTTCTATAACCTGCCTTCCAGTCTCATAGGGTGGAAGAGCAGAATCAGAGAGACTGATTCTTATGAACTGGAGTCTGCAGGCTCATTAGATTGCAATAAAACTGCAGTCAAAATATTTGGGGGTGGGGTGACAGAAGCAGCAGCTTTATTGCGTCCTATTCCCTTAGAGGGTAAGACGTGCTTAAGTTTTTGGTTAAGCCTTTTTGGGAAGAGGTTCAGGGGCTCCTTGTATAGGCTCCATATAATAAATCAATAAATGGAAATTAATGAAACTGTTCTGAATGCAGCCACACAGGGCAGACTGAGTAGCATTCACTTCCAATGCCACCACAGTGGACTATGGGGAAAAGGCACAAACTCCAATGTCTCTCCAATGCCACCACAAGCGGGCTAGGAAGAAATAGACTGCAAGTCACAGAATAATAAGCGTAAATAATTATAAACAAATGAATCACTTCTTAACTAGGAGGTTCAGAAGCAGTCTACCAGTGCCTGCTCACTCCGTCGCTGCGATTATGAACCGGGAGGAATAATAACCGCAGCTCCTTCTGCCATATCATGGACAGCAGTCTTAAATGATACAGAAAATAATGGCTGAAGACTGTAGAAATCACCAAAGAAATGAGGCTGTGCTATGGAGCCAGCAGCAACTGAAAATGAGCCATGATTGCGGAAAGCCTCAGGTAGGATTTCCCCCGCTTATATTTAAATCCGATCAATAAAATGGTGTGCAGCAAAACGGAGCCACAGCATGTGAAAAACAAGCATATTCAGCGACACTGTAGGAGAGCAGTATACAAGGAAGCTCTGCAAGAAAGTAAACTAAATAAACTAAAACCAAGATGAACTAAGGTTGCAAGGGAAACAAACAGGGGCGCGGAGGGACGATTTTCTATAGATAGATAGATAGATAGCAAGATTCAAAGAATCTAAGTTGCTAAAACTAAGGAAGACTGGGGAAATAAAACAACAACAGAATGAGATCAAAAATTGAAATATCATCTGAAGAAGCAGGAGAGGCAGGAGAAACATACCACTGAGTCAGACAGGAGAAAAAACTGAGGAAGTGTCTGCCTCCCACAAGTCTTTGCGCCTGCCTGAGGTCATGTGAGAGGAAATACCCAATCCACTGTTCCCAGCATTCCATGAAATAAATTACATATGTTCCTATTTTTTGCTGATCTTGTGAAAGCAGAAGCTTTGATTCTGAGTTGGTTGTTGGATAAAAAACCATTAAAATAAATATCATCTTATAGATGATCTTATAGATTTGATCAGATTTTCTGCCTCTGTTTCTCTGCCCTTATACAAAAAGATGTGCAAAAAATTGCTGGAGTTACATTTTACATTAGCAAGCCTTTCTGAACAGAACAGGCCAAGCTGCAACACATAATGAATTTTATACAAATACAGCAGTAACACAAAGAACATTTTCATGCTAACATATGACAGACATGCATCTCAACAGATGGAAACTAGATAACAGTCAACAGACAAATAGTAAGCAGTTCTAGCTTTATTTGTGTGAGGATTGAAAACAAAACTGTTTATGACTGGAAAATGTTAGCTCTCAAAATGGAATATTTAGCTTGTAGAGCACGTAAAATGTGGCAAATCTGAGACTCAAAGTTGTTATATATATATTTGTCATTTCATATTGACATCCAGTTTCCCATATAGTATGTTTGTTGATGGAAGTTTGCTTCCCATCCTGTATGTGCAAATCTGTCTGGAAAGTTCCTTTCCAAAAGGAAGACACATAACGGATATCCCAGTTTACAAATTCTGAAAGGCACATATACTACTAACATAGTGGCTGTATTTTATTTATTTTTCCTAGAATTGTCTATTTAAAGCATATTACAAGCGCAAAAGACCCAAAGTTCTACAAAGGTAGAAACGGTCCTAAAATTAATAAGAAAAATGGTAATTAAAAGAGAGGAGCCACTTTTAACAAATTCATAGTCAGCCAAGTTTCTCTCATTCTTCTTCCAGCTATGTAAAAAAGAAACCTGCATCTTTCCAAAAGTTCATTCTGTACACTCCAGTTCCCAATGCCATCCTTTAAGGCAGAAGTACTGTACAGAAGCCCCCGACAGGGGGCGGGTGGGTGTGGGGGATTCCCTGATCCTGAATGGGGTAGCTGTGCCCCTGAAGGAGCAGGCACACAGCCTGGGAGTCATTTTAGACTCACAGCTGTCCATGGAGTCATTTTAGACTCACAGCTGTCCATGGAGGTGCAGGTCAAATCTGTGTCCAGGGCGGCTGTCTACTAGCTCCATCTGGTAAGCAGGCTGACCCTCCCTACCTGTGGACAGTCTTGCCAGAATGGTGCATGCTCTAGTTATCTCTCGCTTGGACTTGAATGCGCTCTACATGGGGTTCCCTTTGAAGGTGACCTGAAAACTACAACTAATCCAGAATGCAGTAGCTAGACTGTGGACTGGGAGTGGCCAAGTGCTGACCTTTAAAGCCCTAAACGGCCTCGGCCCACTATACCCGAAAAAGCGTCTCCACCGCCCTTGTTCAACCTGGACACTGAGGTCCGGCTCTGAGGGTCTTCTGGCGGTGCCCTCACTGTGAGAAGTGAAGTTACAGGGAACCAGGCAGAGGGCCTTCTCGGTGGTGGCACCCACCCTGTGGAATGCCCTCCCACCAGATGTCAAGGAAATAAACAACTATCTGACTTTTAAAAGACACCTGAAGGCAGCGCTGTTTAGGAAAGCTTTTAATACTTGATGAATTATTGTATTTTTAAATATTTTGCTGGAAGCCGCCCAGAGTGGCTGGGGAAACCCAGCCAGATGGGTGGGATATTATTATTATTATTATTATTATTATTATTATTATTATTTGCTGCTCCTTTTCACATTTATGTGTTTTGGAAAACAGAAGAGTGATGAAATCAGGTTCTTCAGCAACACTCATGTTAACGGTTCTTTGGTTACAGAGGGCTGTAAAAATTTATGCTTCAAAGCCTTGAATACAAAGCCTTATGCTTTTAAATTCCAGAACAAACCTGTAGTAAATACAATTTATTTATTTTTTTACATACTGAACAAAGACCCAACGTTCCATTATAAGTAGCAGGTTCAAATTATATTTTCAGTTCTTTCCATATGGCTTCCGTTACAGAAATATGATTGCCAGCCATTTTGTTCATTGTCAAAACAATTTCAGTACTGCTGGAGAAGTACTAGTAATGGCTGCAGATTGTAGGCATGTGTGGCTGCATAAATATTTCTTTTATTGCTTGACACAGCTTAGAACTCTGTAAATATGTATATATTATTATTATTTTGCCATCTGTCATTCTAAAAACAAAGCTAAAATAAAAATAATAAAGAATGGTGACGAAGGTTTAGCTACACTAAAATATCATTTCTCTTACTGCACCATACCACTAGCCCAATCATGGCAATTGTCAAGAGAACTGGAATGAAAATCAGGGTAATCAAAATTTTATCTGGTGGATCTTCCCAATGCACTTTTTTTGAAGTACAGTTTGAAAAGAATTGTTTATGGATTCCAGTGATGAAGCCCTCAGCAATGGGGTTAGGCCAAAAGCACTTTGCTGTTGCAGCCTTGTCTTCTGTACATAGGGTAAAGTTGTTGTAATACCTGAAGAGAAAAGAACATGACAATAAGTTTGACAAATACATACAAAAAACTCTTCTGACAACTCTTTCCCTTCTTTCACTCCAGTCTAACAGATTCTTGACAAGGGATCTGTTTCTTTCCAGCAATTTTCTTGCCACAGAAGTGCAGCAACAATTTGGAGCTGGACAAATATTATCTATGCTGGGAGGACTCCATACCCAGCTCTGTCCTTGAATTATGCTAATCTCTGTTACACTTCCATGTGGATATGCCACCTTTGGGTTGCCACCTTTGGTCAGGCAAAATAAGGGATAGGTGGGAGAAAACTGGGGAGCTAAAAATTTACCTCGTGCAGAAATGACTTCAAAGCAATCCATTGCAATGATCAAATGGAAGCTATCTCAGCAACTGAAAACATTCTAACAACAATACTGAAAGGAAATGCTCCCACAAAAAGAGGACATCGTGGGGCAGCGGGCAGGCTTCTGCTGGGGGGGGGGCAGAACCTCAATTAATTATTTTTAATGCTTTTCAATATTTTTGATAGTGAGTAAGCCTTGGATTATTCACATGTGTTGTATCATTTGGCAGAGACACCTATGCAACTACAGCATGAGGACATGACTTGCTGAAAAAATAATAACGGTAGCCCTATGATACCCTGCCACAGTATAAAGAGAAAATAAATAGTATATGCAGATATATGTTGGAAACTTCCAAACTGTATATATAGTAGAAAATGCTGAAAGACACCCAAAATAATTCAGGAAAACAAAAAATGAATGCTTTTCAACACAAGGTATGGTAGAATTCTATGTTGAACTGTGTGAAGAGTTTTTGTGGTGATAAAGCTCCTGGCAGTGAGAGGCTGAGCAGCTGTGATGTCATGGACTCTTTGCTAAACCCTAACTGTGGAAGGAATGGAAATTATCAATAGAATATTCATTAATGACCACGTCTGTGTGAGGCAGAGACTCAAGGAAGTTGAGAAAATACAGCAGAAAATGCAGTGGACAAAGAAAACAGAAAACTGAGGAAGTATAGAAGAAAAAGGAAGAGGCCAAAGGAAAAGCTGGGCTGGGGATACAGAAACAATAGGTGTGTGTAGAAAAAGCTCACGCAAGTATGAAGGGCAGGAGAACTTTTATCTGTTGGGAGAAAAGGAGTGTGGCAGGAAGTAAGAAGCCAGAGGGCTGTGCAAGGCTGGTCAAGAGCTGGGATGGGTGGACAAGGAAAGGAGCAATGGCAGAGGAATGAAAAGCCAGGCGGATGCAGGAATGACCACTGATGGAGGCATATTTCCTCAAGAAATTCCTTCTTTCCCATAGGGAACGACAGTAGCCACACAAATAGGCATTGCTCTGGACAAATGACTTGGAGAACCTGCATTTTGGATTAAATATTTGTCAGTGGTGCTGACAAGAAAGCTGAGTCTGGAGGCCATGAATCTTCCAAAGGAGATGGCAAAATATGAGAATGTAGTGAAAGAGGAACAGAGTAGGAACCAACTATCTATCACCCACATCTAATCTAAAACATATTTAAACATAGGCAGCTGGAGGAAATGGATGAGAAGGTTGAGTGGCTGAGTTGTTATAGGGAAATATTTTGGACTGGTATTGTGATTTGTATCCTCAACATGTGGCTTCCATGCCAGCTGGGGTGATACAAACATGGGAAAGGGTTTCTTATGTTTCTATCCCCACCTGGATGGTGAATCATAAATGGGTGCAACTTGTCTAACTTCCCAACCAGATTCAAAATCTGAGGCTGCACAGGTTTTGTCCTTTCACAAAAGAGGACACTTCTGCCTAGCAGCGGCTCAGAAGAGAGATTTGGAAGAGATCAGAGTCTCCCCTTGCAACTGTTTCCTGCCCAGCAGCTGGTTGGCAAGACTGCTGACTCTCAGAGCCCTGCCTGCTCCGTAGACTCTCTAGGGTGGGCAGGCGGGGGTAGCACCCCCACCCCCACCCATACTATGGGAATAACAATACAGTGGTACCTCAGTTTACAAACTTAATCCGTTCCGGAAGTCCGTTCTTAAACTGAAACCGTTCTTAAACCGAGGCGCGCTTTCCCTAATGAGGCCTCCTGGTGCTGGTGCCCTTCCAGCGTTCGGATTCTGTTCTTAGACTGAGGTAAAGTTCACAAACACTACTTCCGGTTTTGCGGAGTTCATAAACCAATCGTTCTTAAACAGGACTGTTCTTAAACCAAGGTACCACTGTGTAGAACAAGGTTAAAGGCCCCAAATACTTTAAACCTTTTCAGTTATTCTTGGATGCATTGGTCTGAAAATAAAATTGTTCAGATTATTTAGAGGTTTTAAGAATTACACATCAATTTAAAAATAATCCAGATATGTGAGTCTGTAGAAGGCACAGTTGTTTTGCCTCTCTCCAGGTCAAATATCATGAAAGGCACCCTGTATTTTATGCAACTTTTAGATAAATGATTGCTCAGCCTAATTACAAACAAAATTAATTTAAAGGATAGATGATTCATGTTTGGGGGTGGTGTGGTATTTCAATTATCCCACACACAGAAATCACTGTGGGAAGAAAAAGAACTCTGGTCATCTCCACCCCCGCTTCCTGCTTCTTCACAGAGGGACATGAGTAGCAGCTGCCCTGTGAGCAAGAAAAGGCAATGGCAGTGAGACAAATGATCATCATAGTCACTTTCTTACAAGGGCTATTTGAAGATCACATGCAATTTAATTATTTGTTCTTTAGCCTTCTTGGTTGAAGAGCAGAATGAAAATTAGTAAAGAAGTAAATAAAAAGTTTCTCACAAATCAAATGCAAGACTGTTGCTTCCCTGGGATCCTCATGAGTATGTCTTGTGCATCTCATTATGTTACACTGAGCCAAAAAAGCGGTCTCTCATTTTCCCAAACCAATCAATTTCTACAGTACAGTTCTTCAAAACAGTTTATCTTTAGCTCAATTTTCAGGTCACACATTCCCAGCTCCATGCATTTTTATAAATACTATTAAAACAACAAATTTGTACATTAGGAGGGGCTTTACCATTGAGTGAGTGCTCCTCTAATCAACCCCACCCCCAGCTCTTTTGGGGAGCTGATGATCACAGCACTCAAACACATTGTGCATAGCAATTGTAGGTATCACAATCTGGAAAGGCTCAGCTCCTCCACATCTTAAGTGAGGATCCTCTTGTATTATACAGCTGCATTTGAAATTGTTCCAACCCCATTGCAAATCAGGATTATTTTCAAACTTTACAGACTTTCAGCTGTTTGCAATGAGAAAATCAAACAAAAGCAATTGAAATAGCTCAAAAAATGTTGCAGGTGGTTTCCCCAAATTCAGCTGACATTGCAAATTATACTGGTTTCTCCAGTCTCACTATTATTCAACCCCTTCATGGGAAGCATCTTTAGTACTTAGTAGAGCAGAGCCTAGGACTTGCCGATCGGAAGGTCGCGGTTCGAATCCCCGTGACGGGGTGAGCTCCCGTTGCTTGGTCCCTGCTCCTGCCAACCTAGCAGTTCGAAAGCACGTCAAAGTGCAAATAGATAAATAGGTACCACTCCGGCGGGAAGGTAAATGGCGTTTCCGTGCGCTGCTCTGGTTCGCCAGAAGCAGCTTAGTCCTCCAGCAACTGGAGGAAAGTGTAGCTACGCTCCAAAGAATTAGAGAGCTGGAGCTCTTCTTGGAAGCAACAGAGCACACCGTCTCCACCAAGGAGGAGACAGGGGACTCCCCTGAGAAGGACGCTAGTTCACCAACACAGGAGCCAGATATATGGAGAAACGTGACTCAAAGAAATAGGAGGCCCAGGGTTCGCTCTGATTGTTTAGAAATACACAATCGCTTTGAGGTCCTCTCCCCTAGCATGGAAGACGAAGAGCAGACTCCATTTGAGGATCTCCCTCATTACAGTCGATCAGGTATATGAAGACGAGCAGCAAAGTCAGTCCTCAGGGAATGTGCAGGCAACCTTGGAACGGACAGGTCACGGAAGAACCCCGACCAAACCTAAGAGGAGGCGTGTAGTGGTGATAGGGGATTCCCTACTGAGGGGAACAGAAGCAGTGATCTGTGGGCCTGACAAGATGTCTCGGGAAGTGTGCTGTCTCCCCGGGGCTAAGATCCAAGATGTAACTGAACGACTGCAAGGAATCATAAAACCCACTGACAAATACCCCTTCCTCTTGGTTCATGTGGGAACCAATGACACTGTAAGCAATAGCCTCCAGAAGATCAAAAGAGACTACGAGGCTCTGGGCAGGAAATTGAAGCAATTAAATGCACAAATTGTCATCTCATCTGTCCTCCCAGTTGAACGACGTGGCCCAGGGAGAGAGGGAAAAATAGTGGAAGTGAACAACTGGCTTTGCAAATGGTGTAAACAGGAACGGTTTGGATTCTTAGATCATGGACTGCAGTTTCTTGAAGATGGACTTCTGGCAAGCGATGGGCTGCACCTCACAACGGTTGGGAGGAATGTTTTTGCCAAAAATCTCAGAAACCTCATCAGGAGGGCTTTAAACTGACTAATGTGGGTGAGGGAGACAGTGCTCCTGAAGGTAGGAGTCTATCAATTGATGAAGATGATCATCCAAATGTCATAGACCAAATGGAGCAAACAGCACGCAGACCTAGTGGTGGGAGGAAAAAATCCTTAAATAAGAGACACGGGGGAATGATTAATGGACTTCAGTGTCTGTACACTAATGCGCAAAGCATGGGAAATAAACAAGATGAGCTTGAGCTCTTGGTACAGCAAACTAAATTTATGACATAATAGGCATCACTGAAACCGGGTGGGATAAGTCCCAGGATTGGAATGTAATAATGGAGGGATACAATCTATTTCAGAGAAACAGACCAGACAAGAAAGGAGGAGGAGTGGCGTTATATGTCAGGGATGTGTATACCTGTGAAGAGATCCAAGATTTAGAACCTCAAAGCCAAAGTGAGAGCATTTGGGTCAAAATTAAGGGAGAGAAGAATAACAGTGACCTCATTGTGGGAGTTTACTATAGATCCCCAAGCCAAACGGAGGACATAGATGATGCCTTCCTGGAACAGATGGCCAAGCATGCAAAAGGAAGGGAGATAGTAGTAATGGGGGACTTCAATTACCTGGATATTTGTTGGATGTCAAACTCAGCCAAGAGCATAAGGTCAAACAGATTCCTCACTGGCCTTGCAGACAACTTCATTGTCCAGAAAGTGGGAGAAGCAACAAGAGGAACAGCCATTTTAGATCTGGTCCTAACCAATGTTGATGACCTGGTTAGTGGGGTAGAAGTGGAAGGATCATTAGGCGTGAGTGATCATGCTCTTCTGAAAGGAGCAGCCAAGCATACTAGGACTCAATTTCTTGACTTTAAGAAAGCCGACTTCATAAAACTTAGGGAAGTGCTGGTTAGATCCCATGGACAGTAATACTAAAAGGAAAGGGAGTTCATGATGGCTGGGAGTTTGTTAAGAGGGAGATAGTAAAAGCACAACTTCAGGCAATACCAATGAGACGGAAACATGGAAGGTGCCTAAAGAAGCCAGGGTGGCTATCTAAAGAACTTTTAACTGAGTTAAGATTAAAAAGGATGTGTACAAAAAATGGAAAAGGGAAACCACCAAAGAGGAATTCAAACAAATAGCCAGCACGTGTAGACACAAAGTCAGAAAAGCTAAAGCACAGAATGAACTCAGGCTTGCTAGAAAGGTTAAAAGCAACAAAAAAGGCTTTTATGGGTATGTTCGTAGCAAAAGGAAGAACAAAGAAACGGTGGGGTCACTCAGAGGAGAAGATGGTGAAATGCAAACAGGGGACACAGAAAGGGCTGAACTCCTCAATGCCTTCTTTGCCTCAGTCTTCTCCGATAAAGAAAACAATGCCCGACCTGAAGAATTTGAAGCAAATGATTCAGCAGAGGAAACACAGCCCAGAATAACTAAGGAGATAGTACAAGAATACTTGGCTAGTTTAGATGTATTCAAGTCTCCAGGGCCAGATGAACTGCATTCAAGAGTATTAAAAGAACTGGCAGATGTGATCTCAGAACCACTGGCAGTCATCTTTGAGAATTCCTGGAGAACAGGCGAAGTCCCGGCAGACTGGAGGAGGACAAATGTTGTCCTATTTTCAAAAAGGGGAAAAGAGAGGACCCAAATAATTACAGCCCAGTCAGTCTGACATCAATACCAGGGAAGATTCTGGAGCAGATCATTAAGCAAACAGTCTGTGAGCACCTAGAAAGGAATGCTGTGATCACCAATAGTCAGCATGGATTTCTGAAAAATAAGTCATGTCAGACTAACCTGATCTCATTTTTGACAGAATTACAAGCCTGGTAGATGAAGGGAACGCAGTGGATGTAGCCTACCTTGATTTCAGCAAGGCATTTGACAAGGTGCCCCGTGATATTCTTGTAAAGAAGCTGGTAAAATGCGGTCTTGACTATGCTACCACTCAGTGGATTTGTAACTGGCTGACTGACCGAACCCAAAGGGTGTTCATCAATGATGTGTATACCTGTTCACTTCCACTATTTTTCCCTCTCAAAAATCAAAAATACACCGCAAACATTTAAAAACAAATCCATTATTCTCAAATCCTCAACTGTCATTACCTTCTTTCTTTGACCTCCTCCTCCTCCCTTTTTCTGTATCCTAGTTGTTAATTGTTGCAGCAAATCCTTTCCATATTTCATAAAATTCTGTCATTACATTACCTTAAACTATTTTAATCTTACTATAAAAAACCTTGAAACTTAAAACTTAAATCTTATTTTTACCAACTTCTCATAACCATAATATTCTTACATAATTCTTTAAACATTTTTACTAAAGCCAAGTAATTTCATTCCAACATTTTTCTAACATTCATCAATTTTATAAAACAATCCTAGTAGTAGAAAAAGAAATAAAAACAATCCAATCTTCATCCAGCGTCCCTTCCTCCTGGTCCCGGGTTTTGTCAGTCCTTATTATCCCATCGATCTAGCTCTCTTTCATGTCCCTTCCGCAGCTCTTCTTCATATTTGTAACTGTATTTTCCCTTGTCTCCTGCTCGTTTCACTCGTGGGAACTCCAGCTTAACAATATTTTTGACCCTTCTCGACAGATCAGCGCCTTTTCCATAATCCACACTAAATTCCATGTGGTATTTAAGAACATGTTTCAAAATCCCTCCAAAATTAGGAGCCCCACAATCCCAGACATCTCATGGCCCATTGCCAGACTTGAAAAGTCCAAACATCCCTGCATAGGGGGGTCTATCCAGCCCCCCATTTCCAAACCAAACCAAACTTTTTCTTTCCAAATCTGGCTTTTTCCAAGTTCATTTGTCAAATCCAAAGCTCATGTTCCTGTTGGGCCTGTTCTGTCAGGGCACACTCCTGATTTAATTCCTGGGTGGGCTCCACATATTTTCCCACTGCCTGTTCAAAATTTCCCACTGCCTGTTCAAAATTTCTAATCGAATCAGCCATCAAATTCGTCTTCTCATGTAGCTGTTCCAGTAGGGCATTTGTTTTATAGAAAGCACACAACAGAGCTTCTGAATACATTGTCCTGCAAGGTCAGATGTCTATTCCCACGATTGTAATCTGTAACAGCTGCCAGCTCCCCGGAGTTGGTTACAGTTTCACAGTCTCCCTCTAGGGGGAAAACTTCTATTTGTTCTTTCTTTTAAAGACAAGTCTAGCAACAAAAGTTTCCTTTTTCAGATATTTTGTCAATATTTGTTCCTTTAAGAAGCGAAGGGGAACAATGGAGTCAAAGTTTCTCTTCTTATAGCTATCTGTCAAAAACGTTGTCTCTGGTCAATGAGCTTCAAAAAACGTCAGTCCTGACACCCCGCTCCAGGATCAGGACGGTGGAAAGTTACTTTACTTTACACTCACTTCTGCAGGTTTAAACAGTCCGAAAAAAAATCCCCCCTCTTCTCCTGCTTCTGAAGGGGGTTCAACAATTTTAAATGATGAAAGTTAATCTTTTACAGGCGATTTTCTGAGCTCTAGTTTGCCATGTCTTTGCTTTAATCTATCTACAAAGAAACAGAAGGCTGACTTCCTGTTTAGACCTTCCCGTTTCAGCGCCAAATTAAGGTAAACTTTTAAGTCCAATTTTCCTTTCTGCTCACAAGTCCTTATTTAGAGTCCAATTGTCCGAGTTTAGGTACTCACGGATGATTATTTTAGAAGCCAGATTGTCCCAGGAAAAAGGCAGCGCTCTCCGGCAACGGCTGTGCGGCTTTGCTCCACGGAAGAAGCAGTTGACTCTCAGCACCGCACCACTTCCCCCTCTTTGCTCCGGAGCCTGTTAATGGGTTCTTTTGCGGGTTGGGGGGGCGCTAAAAAGTTCCAATTTTGTTTCATCGCTCCACAAAACAGAATCCCAGAACTTCTGTGGCTTATTTACAGTGGTACCTCAGTTTACGAACTTAATCCGTTCTGGAAGTCCGTTCTTAAACCAAAGCCATTCTTAAACTGAGGTGCGCTTTCCCTAATGAGGCCTCCCACTGCCAGTGCCCTTCCACCGTTTTGGATTCCGTTCTTAGACTGAGGTAAATTTCACAAACCGGTACACTATTTCTGGTTTTGCAGAGTTCATAAACCAAATCGTTCTTAAACAGGACTGTTCTTAAACCAAGGACACAGGTGAGCATTTCAGAGCTGAGTTTTCTTGTGCTTTGGGGTCAATAGTGGTGAACATCTTGGAGTTCTGGCATGGAAATCTTCTGCATTTAGTACACACCTTACTGTGCTCACTGAAACCTCAGTGCCTGCTGCCACCAAGTCTTGCTCCAGCTCTTTTGCAGTCACCCAAGGATTTTCCCCAGCCTGCCTTCTCATAATTCTTGTTGCTGCCCCAAATAGCTTACTTTTTCTGCCCTGTCCAAGTAGTGTAACCACTGTTCATTAACTCTGAACTTGCGAACTATACTTCCAACAATGTCTCTAGGAACATGCAGTGCCTTTGTTATCTTTTTGTATCCTGCTCCTTGTTTGTGAAGGGCGATGATCTCTTACCTTCTTGGACCATTCTCTTGACTTAGCCATATTTCTAACATGCAGCCAAATTTGACACTCTGCAACCCCCTAGCTAGTTCAGGTATTTCAGCTCACCTGGTACAACTGATGAAGCCCTTGATTACTTGCATCAGGTGTGCTTGAGACAACACCTGTTGTATTTGTGTTGTTGTGAGAGTTTCTATTTAGGGGGTTGAATAATACAGTGAGCCTGAAGAAGCCAGTATAAGTTGTATTGTCAGCTGAATTTGGGAAAACCACTTGAAGCGTCCATTGTTGTCAGAGCTGCTTCCAGATCCTAGCTCACAGAGGATCACGCTAGCCAGCGATCATTAAACAAAAGTCTTTATTGAGTTACAGTTTCCATTCTCAAGCTGCTGCGTGCAACTCTACGTCTCATGCTTAGACCGGCGAAGCTCCGTCTGAGTCTCCGCCCCTTGTACACCAACTTAATATCCTAGCCCTGCTCCACCTTTTCCGCCTGACTGTTCTTCTCTGGGTCCCTCTGCCCCCCCGGGGTCTCTTCCTTCCGGGATTCCTCTGACGCTGACGCTGACTCCCCTGACTCTTCTCCCTCCTTTCGGCGGGCTTTGGGACCTGGCTCCCTTTCCGGGCTGCCTACTGCGCCACCTTCCTGTGCATTTGAACTTGGCGCGCGCGCCCAACCTTCCACCTTCCGTCTGACCGTTTCTTCGCTCCCCGATGGAGGTGTGGCCACTCCTGACTCGTGCCCTCCCCCCTGTTGTGAGTTGCCAGCGCTTGATCCCTGGCTCCCTTCCTCTTCCCTGCTCTCTGGCGGTGACGTTGGTCCCGATTTCCAACTGCTCCCCTCTGAGTCCCCTCTGGCTCTATCTTCCTGGGGTGTCCCCCTAGGCTCCCCCCTTGCCCTGGCCACTGGTGCTCCTTTCTGTGAATCTTCTGATTCACTGGAAAGACTCGGAGATCTCGGGTCGTCGTCATCACTCATCTTTTCTTCTGCCTCCTCCCCCTCGCTCTCACTTTACTCCCTTGCCCTAGCCTCTGCTCCTGAACCCCTGACATCCATCCCCCCCTCGAAGCCCCCTCTTCCCCCCTCCCCTCCTTCCGGTGCGGGATCTGGGTGCTGCCGTGTCAGGGGGACGAATGTCGGATACAGTTCGCTTCCCGTGGTGGGCCGCCATCTGAAGCCTTCCGGTTCTTCCTCCCTGCTCTCGTTGACGACGGTCACCTCCGCTTCCATCTCTGTGCCGCCGTGCTCGAAACCCGGGTCGTCCCCGAAAAAGTCCATGTCCGTCTCTCCCTCGTTGCCTTCTGGAGACGTTGCTCGTCCTGGACCCTCCAGCCACCTTCTACGGAACTGCTCCTCTGGTCGATCATCCCACCAATACGAGGGTTCTGAAGCAGATCCTGAGGGTGACCCCTCCGGGGAACGGGCGTCTCGTGTCGGTTCCTCGTCCGAGTCGAACCCCGGAGCGTGCTGGCTGAAAGCGTGGGCGTGAAAAGCCAGTCGTCGAAAAAGTCTGCTGGCATTGGCCTATGTGGGAAGAGGGCATGAAACTCTTCTTTGAGCAGAGGTTCGTCTAAAGCGTAGCCCGGCACCCAGCTGTTGGCACTGGCCGGGGTGCCCTCCTTGGCGAGAAGGTATTCTACCCCCTCTTCCCCCCATCTGGAGTCCAAAATCTCCGTGACTTCGTTGATGCGCTCCTCCCGTGCCACTCCCCCCTGCCCGGTTCTCTCTCGGAGCGGACCCGGTGCCGTTCCTGGTTCCTGAAACCTGTGAGGTGCCTTGTAGGGAGTGAGCACCGATCTGTGGAACACCGGATGCATTCTGGAACCCTCCGGAAGAGCCAGCCTGAAAGCCACCGGGTTGACCTGTTCTTCGACTTGGTAGGGCCCCAGTTGTTTATGCCCTAGTTTCTTCTTCGCCAACGACCTGGCCGGCACTGCGTGGGCTGCTAACCAGACCCAGTCTCCCACATGGATCTCTTCGCCAACCCTTCTGTGTTTGTCCGCTTGTACCTTGTATGCGTGTTTAGCCAGCTCCAGGTGCCGCCGCAGCTGATCGTGGACCTCCTGCAACTCCGACGCGAATGCATCTGCTGTCTGCGGCTCCCCCTCCCCCATTCTTTCCAGTCCCGGGAAGGTTCTGGGGTGCCTCCCGTTGTTGGCGAAGAACGGCGTGACCCCCGTGGACACGTGCTTCGTGTTGTTGTAGGCAAACTCGGCGAGAGGCAGGTAATCCACCCACGTCGCAGGCTGTTGATTCGCATAACATCTCAGGTACTGCTGCATGATGGCATTGACCCGCTCCGCTTGCCCATTGGTCTGCGGGTGTCTAGCCGACGCCAGGTTGATCTTGACGTTCAGGAAGCCCATCAGCCTCTGCCAGAAGTTCGAGATGAACTGTCGCCCTCGGTCGGACAGAATAGACCGCGGCAGACCGTGAACCTTGAACACGTGGTCTATGAACAGTTTGGCGGTTTGTTCCGCCGTGGCCACCTTCGCACACGGAATGAAATGTGCCATCTTGGAGAACAAGTCCACCACCACCAGCACAGCCGTCTTGCCCCTCGAGCTGGGCAGATCCGTGACAAAGTCCAGGGCCACTCTCTCCCATGGTTCGAACGGAGTTTGCAGCGGTTCCAGCAGTCCGGCCGGCGGTCTGTGCACTGGTTTGGCCCTCTGGCAGGTGTCACACCTCGCCACGTAGTCCGCGACTTCCCCTCTCATTCCTGGCCACCAGAAGTCTCTGGCTACTAATTCCACCGTTTTCTCCTTGCCAAAGTGCCCGGCAGTGGGCGCGTCGTGCAGCTGCTGCAGTACCTTGGCGCGAAGTTCGTCTCCCGGCACGTAGATGGCCCCTTTACGGATGAGCAAACCATCTCGCAGCTGGAACTCGTCGGTCGCTGCCGTGCCCCTGTGCGCCTCTGCCATCTTTGCTTGCGCGAAGGAGTCATCCTGCAACGCTCGTCGCACCGCCTCCAGGTCAACTGTCGCCGCCGTGCACGCCCACACTGTCGGTGCGAAGATGTGCATGGCGGCCGCTGGCGTTGCCTCCTCCAAATACTGTGGCTTACGGGAGAGAGCATCCGCCATGATGTTGGTGTCCCCGGGACATACTCTATTCGGAAGTCGAAATTCGCAAAGAACTCAGCCCAACGTATCTGCCTCTGGTTCAGGAACTGTGCCGTGCGCCAGTGCTCTAGATTCTTGTGGTCCGTGCAGACCTGCACCGTGTGCTTGGCGCCGATCAGGAAGTGCCTCCACGCTTTGAACGCTGCATGAATGGCCAGCAACTCCCTGTCCCAGATGGTGTAGTTCTGTTCGGACTTGCTGAGCTTCCTTGAGTAAAACGCTCCCGGCCTCCAAACCCCCTGCGGGTCCTTCTGCAGCAGGACTGCTCCCACGGCTCTGTCCGATGCGTCTGTAACCACCCTCATGGGCCTGAGGGGTTTGAAATGAAGATGTTGCTGTTCCGACGCGAAGAGACGGCTTGAGTGCCTGAAAGGACTGCTCCGCCTGCTCTGTCCAGATGAACTTCTTTTTCTTGGAGCTGAGCGTGTCCGTGATGGCCGCTGTCTGCATGGCAAAGCCTTTGATAAACTTGCGATAGAAGTTCGCAAAGCCGACAAACCGTTGGACCTCCTTCCGGTTGCGTGGGCTTTTCCAATCCAACACTGCTCGGACCTTGGTGCTGTCCATGGCGAGCCCTTTATCAGACAACTTGTAGCCCAGGAAATCCACCTCCGTCACGTCGAATTGGCACTTCTCCAGCTTGGCGTAAAGCCTATGTTGCTGTAGCCTGCTCAGCACTTCTTTGACGTGCCTGTCATGCTCCTGCTGCGATTCCGAAAAGATCAGGATGTCATCCAAGAAACAGACGCACGTCTTGTAGAGAGCCCCGCCAACACGTGATGCATGAAAGCTTGAAAAACGTGGGAACCATTTTGCAATCCAAAAGGCATAACTCTATATTCGTAGGTGCCCAGGGGCGTGAACATGGCTGTCTTCCACTCATCTCCTTCCCGCATGCGAATGAGGTTGTACGCCCCTCGCAGGTCCAACTTGGTGAACACGCTGCCCTTCCGTACCTTCGCGAGGAGGTCGTCGATTCGGGGCATGGGGAAGTCCGATGGCTTGGTCACGCTGTTCAAAATGCGATAGTCCACTACAAGTCTTTTTGGGGCGTGTCCCTCTTCTTAACAAAGAATACCGGACTGCCCCCCGCTGCCGTGGACTCTCGGATGAAACCGCGCTCCAAATTATGATCTATGAACTCTTTGAGTTCCTGCAGTTCGTCCTCAGACATGGAATACAACTACCCTTTGGGCAGCGCCGCCCCTGGCAGCAGGTCAATTTTGCAGTCATATGGTCTGTGGGGGGGTAGCCTGTCTGCCTCCTTCTCACAGAAAACCTCCAAAAATGCTGCGTACTTGTGGGGAACCGCTTGCAGCGTGCCGAGCTGCAGCTGTGACTCCTCTTCCTCTCCTTCCAGCCGGGGCACGATGCAGTGTTCAGCGCACAAGGAAGAGCCGAAGGTCAGCTGCCTCTGGTACCAAGCCAGCGTCGGGCTGTGCTTGTCCAGCCAACTCATGCCCAATACAATGGGCGTGTCCGATAGTTGAGTGACATTGAAGCTGATGATTTCCCTGTGATTCCCAAGTCTCATCACCATTGGTGGCGTCTGCTTCACCACTTGCCCCCCTAGCAGCTCCCTGCCATCCACCGTGACAACCTGCAGGGGCAGCGTGGCAGGCAGCAACTGTATAGCGTGCCGGTCGACAAAGTCCTGCCCTATAAAGTCCGCATTGCTTCCGGAGTCAATGGTGATTGGCACGTCCATGGTGATGCCATTGGGCAGCTGGAGCGACGCGGTGAGCCTCACTACTGGTTTGGGCGGGAGTGGGTCCATGGGCTGTAAAATCTCTGGGGACTGCTTCACTGACACGTCTGGCTGGGCCCCAGTGCCTCTTTCTCCAGCCAGACTCCGTCGTTTCCCTGCCGTGGTTCTCCTTGCTGCGTTGCTGCAGTTACCATTGCTGAGGCTGCAGTGTGCTTGTGGAGCCTCTGGGGACACTCTTTCGCCATATGCTGTGGATCATCGCAGATGTAACACTTCCTGTTCCCTCTAGGAGGCTTCGCTTTCACTGCTGCCGGTGCTAGGGCTCTGGCTGCTGACTGAGCCCTTGCACCTCCAACCTCCATAGGTTCCGCTCCTCCTCCTGGCGGAGGCGTGGATTGCGCACGCGCTGCTTCTCTGGGAAGGAAGGAGGAGCCCCTGGCTGGTTCGCGCCCTCCACGCCCTTCGTCCCTGCACCACGGACGTTCTTCCAGCCGCACCCCCACCGCCAGCGCCCTCTGAACGATCTCCTGCGTGGTCCGGGGTCTCTCCCCCCTCGCAATTTCATCTTTAACCGAGCCGTGCAATCCCTCCCAAAACAGGTCTCTTACAGGAGCCGAATCTCTGTCCCATTCCAGAGCACTGACCAAAGCGAAAAGCGGGCATGGTACTGCCTTACGCTGGCCCTCCCTTGCTTCAGTCCATGTATCTGCTGCCGAGCAAGATCCACGTCAATGCTTGATAAAAAGCACCCATCCATCGCTTTAATAAAGGCATCCGCATTTTGGAGCGCCGGATCCTTATCTCTCCACAAATTGCGCAGCCATGCTTTAGCATCTCCATGCAAATGGGACATGATGAATCCCACCTTCTCTTGCTCATCTCTAAAGTCTTTGTTCAGCAGTTGCAGTGCACACATTACATCTGCTCTAAAGTTGGGGTACTGTTGCAAATTCCCATCGAAGTGAGAGACCAGACCGCCTGTTCGTCTCCCCAACCCAATCCCCTCCGGTTTGGGTGTCAGTTGCCCTTGCTTCGTAAGCACTTCCAACCTGACCTGGAGATCCCTGTAGGCGGCAGCTGCGTCCTCCTCTCTCTTCCTGGATGCAAGAGCCTTGGCATTTAGTCGTGACACTGCTTCTCTGAGTTCCGCTATCTGCTGTTCGGCCGTCATATTGTCTGCCGTTCGTGAGCTCGCTAGTAGGCACCCGCTTTCTCTCCTCTCCGCGAGGCCGTAGATGCCCACAATTTAGGAGACGGAGCTTACTGTCAGAGCTGCTTCCAGATCCTAGCTCACAGAGGATCACGCTAGCCAGCGATCATTAAACAAAAGTCTTTATTGAGTTACAGTTTCCATTCTCAAGCTGCTGCGTGCAACTCTACGTCTCATGCTTAGACCGGCGAAGCTCCGTCTGAGTCTCCGCCCCTTGTACACCAACTTAATATCCTAGCCCTGCTCCACCTTTTCCGCCTGACTGTTCTTCTCTGGGTCCCTCTGCCCCCCCGGGGTCTCTTCCTTCCGGGATTCCTCTGACGCTGACGCTGACTCCCCTGACTCTTCTCCCTCCTTTCGGCGGGCTTTGGGACCTGGCTCCCTTTCCGGGCTGCCTACTGCGCCACCTTCCTGTGCATTTGAACTTGGCGCGCGCGCCCAACCTTCCGCCTTCCGTCTGACCGTTTCTTCGCTCCCCGATGGAGGTGTGGCCACTCCTGACTCGTGCCCTCCCCCCTGTTGTGTGTTGCCAGCGCTTGATCCCTGGCTCCCTTCCTCTTCCCTGCTCTCTGGCGGTGACGTTGGTCCCGATTTCCAACTGCTCCCCTCTGAGTCCCCTCTGGCTCTATCTTCCTGGGGTGTCCCCCTAGGCTCCCCCCTTGCCCTGGCCACTGGTGCTCCTTTCTGTGAATCTTCTGATTCACTGGAAAGACTCGGAGATCTCGGGTCGTCGTCATCACTCATCTTTTCTTCTGCCTCCTCCCCCTCGCTCTCTGTTTCCTCCCTTGCCCTTGCCTCTGCTCCTGAACCCCTGACAATTGTGTTGAGCTGTTTCCACTGTTTTGTTTGATTTGCTCTAGAGGGGGAATCATGACACATGTCTGATGGTAGAAAACAGCACAAAAGTCTATTTATTAATCTAAGATGTCCATGAGCTTTTGAAAGGGCAGAAAGGCGGCAACTGCTTCTAAAAAATAAAATAAAATGCTATTTTCCCCAGCAATTTAGTAACTTCCATCTTGTTTAATTTTTTATTTTACTTTAAATACCTGGGGGGTGTATCTGGCTTGTTAAAAACCAATTACGCCTTTTGCTTATCAATATAAATTAACATTTGAAGTTAACATAATTTTCTATTAAAATCATTGTTACGTCTATGCTAATAGCCTGACCATTACATAGTTTGATCATGACAAACACATAAAATGACACTATTCATCCGCTATGCTTCTAATACCAGCAGTAAAGTCACAGTGCTAAGCAATGTGTACTGGATTTTTAAGAGAGACTCCCAGAGGAGAAATAAAAGCCTTTCTGGAAACATCTTGGGTTTAAGTGCAGTTAAATCATTATTGCTAGCCTGCATTAGCCAAGCGTCAGTCATCTCAGTAAAAGTTCTCTCACTGTGGATGAACATCATAATACAGCAGCTAACACAACCCCAACTTCCAAGGAAATGGCAGGCAACTGTATCCAGATTGGAAAAGTTTTCACACATGAGGCTTAAACAAGAGAGTAATTGCAAGACAACTATTCAATATAGAAAGACCAGCTCATCTTCTCTGGACATGAACTTACTATGCATAGAAGGCAGTATCAAAAAGAGATTTACTGAAATGTATTAATCACATCTTTTTTTCTTAAGTAATAGCAGGCATGGGGATGAATTTTCATCAGAACCATAGTTTGTGGGGTGGGGGGGTTTAACATTTTCTTCCCCTGCTGCAATCCTGACAAAAGTCCTGAAGAAAAACTAAGTTCTAACACAGAGCTTTGCTATTCACAGGTGCTAACCAACTAAAAGTTCTGCTAGCACAGTGACTTTTTGCTTTACAATGGACCTTCCTCACCTCCTCTGCTCCTCTCACAACCCCTAAATGCCAGAGGTTCTCCAAAACGCCAGCAAGGCAGGGAAGGCTTCTGAGCAACAACAAAATGAGTGAGAGACAGATGTTAGCAGAGAGAGAAAGGCATGTCACAGAACTTCAAGAATTCTGTAGAATGTTCCAATTCTTTAGAATGATCTAATTTAGCTGTCGCAAAAACATGATCTTCTGTTTGTGAAACAACAAGAAGCATGTTGAAATTCAGTAGACCAACCAGAACAGGACTGATCTGCACATCCTTATCCTGCACTGCAACTACTCAATAAAGTTTAATTTAGCAAAATTTACCAAGATTATTTTCTTTTTTTAAGAACCATTCTTTCTTGGCAGGAGGGAAGTCACATGTCCTTTTTGGAGAGAATATTGGAACTCCAAATATAAATGATCTCACCTCATCCCAAATACATTTAGAGCAATGTCATTGAAAGTCAAAAGATTTTTTTTCAACATAATGATAATTATTGTTAGTCTTCATTGTCACAAACACATCTGTTCTATTCATTATTTCTTGCAGACAAACACAGCTGTGAGCAGAAGAAAATTTATAGCAGAAGGAAGAGGTATTTGACATAGTCTACTGAAGATCCTGTCAACAGAGTTTAGGGTAAACACAGTTTTAAGGATCCTGAACAATGTATTTGAAGACCCAGTGGTGGTATTTTATTGTCACAATACATATGCTTTATTTCCTGGCCCACACCTGCAGTGATTGTAAATATTCTGCTTAAGAGAAAAACATTCTGTTGGAAATCTGTTTGGTTAGGTTTCAATTCTTTATTCTACTCTTCCTGTAGTTAAAACACAATTTACTAGTCACATTTTACCAAGGACACTTGCAATATTAACAATAGGGCTCTTGTGGAATTGTGGAGATTAAAAGGGCATATACACTCACAGCAGCTCAAAGCTGACAATATCACTTGGGTTCAACAGCTTTAAGCCAGGAGCAAAACCAGGCTTTATTTCAACGGGCTGACTAAACCAGGTGAGGGTAGCTGATGGGTCTTAAACTCTCACTCACCCTGTGTGTGAAGACAGGCTCCAGCGGATCGAGTAGATGAGACCAAGAGTAGGTCCAATGGTCAAGAAGGCAGTTATTGTGCAAGCTGTGGAGGGAAGTGAGGAGTAGATGGGGCTCATCAACCTGGGAAGGGAGCCCACCTGGGAGAAGTAAACTCTGATCCTAAACCTCCACTGCCTTGTGGGACATATTCGAGAGAAGAGAGAAGTGGCTAAGGAGTAAACCCTACACAAATCCAGAGTGCAATCCTTAAGACCAGGGGTCAGCAAACTTTTTCAGCAGGGGGCCGGTCCACTGTCCCTCAGACCTTGTGGGGGGCTGAGCTATATCTTTTGGGGGGGGGGGGATGAACGAATAACCCAGAGATGCATTTTAAATAAAAGGACACATTCTACTCATGTAAAAACATGCTGATTCCTGGACCATCTGCGGGCCGGATTTAGAAGGTGATTGGGCCAGATCCAGCCCCCGGGCCTTAGTTTGTCTACCCATGCCTAAGACCTCCTTCCAGCAACTCCTGCAACCAAGCTGGTGCCAAACATCTTCCTCTGCTTTCTGTGGTCACAGGAACAAGGTCAAGAGGGTCTTGTCATCCGGGCAGCCCAGGATCTCCATCCACACTGCCCAGGCTTGTGCCCCAGAGAGGTTATTTCAGTGCTGCTAACATAGCAGTTTGACTTCATCCTCAAATGTGAACTGCATGTGTCCCCCACCCTAGGAATGTATGAAGGTAAAATTTATATTCATTGCTCCACCCACTTTTGCCCCTGGCCTCACCTACCACTGGAATGTGGCCCTTAAAAGTTTGCTCAGAAAGGTATGCAGCTTACAGGCTGCCAAAGGTTCCTCACCTCATCTCGCCTCATCTAGGGCACAGTCCTTTGGGGTCTCAGAAATTCCACCTTTTCTCATGGCTGGAATGGACATGTAACCAAAGTCACATGTAACCAAAGTCACTTCCTTCTCTGGATGCCTCCTTGATTTCATTCTTCACCTCAAGGTCACCCTGGGCAAGATCAGCATAAGATATGTGGCAAAAGGGGGAAGTATGCAGAGCAAGCTTGGCCAGATCCACTCCATTGTTTCCCCCTATCCAGCATACTCACACATGCAGGGCCAAGGCCAGCATTAAGACACTTAAAACCTGCAATTCAGATGCAAACCTCCACAGTGATGCTGTGCTCCTTGGGAAGAGCAATATGACATGTATTTCTCTTTAACAACAAAATAAAATAATTCAAGGCCTTCAACAGAGCTTCAGGACAGATGGTGGGAAACTATAACGGGAAAGGAAATTAGACCCCCCACCCTTAATGGCCACTTGGGAGTCAGTGTTATGATGCTTTCTGTGTTAGTACAAAAGCCCTAAACGTGTTCATTCTTTACAATATGCAGAGATTTTGGAGTCAAGCAAATTGTGTTTTGCTCAGATCCCGGCTGGAATAATACAGCTGGAAACCAAAGCAGCAACACGAAAGACACCTGGAATGAATCATCAACCCAAAGTCACAGAACGAACAGCCAAGGAAATGAGAGTCGATGATTAACTAAGAAGAGCTCTCAAATCTTGACATTTGTGACTGCCAACCACAAATGAACATTTGGAGCCCATTTTTCAAGAGACACATTAAAGTTTCATTTTGCTGTGAACTAATCAGGCATGACCCCTGCCAACAACTCAGTTTATGGAATGATACTGTAGAGAGCTATAAGCAGAAATAAGAGAGAAACCAACTGATCTCCAGCTGTAGAAAAATCCCAGCAGATTGGATAGGTTAATTCATGTTGAACATTTGGTCTGGTGCCAGAGCCAGTTAGATGAAATTGAGTTTTAGACTACCTGCATTCCTCCCATGTCCTCCATGTTGCTTGCTCACTCACTGGAGATTCTTAGTGCTCTCTCTCTTGTAGAGGTAGAAAAATTCACTTTTGCAGTGACCACACACCAGGAATAAAGAGGAAATTTACGATATATTTCCAAACAGGAAGAATCTCCATGCTCAATGGTTAAACTTAATTTTTGCAATTAATTTTTGCAGGCCAACAAAATGAGTTCATTGAATGCTCAACTCCTTCATCTCGTAATGGCTGTAAACTGTTCATTCGAATCTGTCACAGAATCATAGAATCACAGACTGTGGACTCTCGAGGGAGACCATTCCACTGTCAAACAGCTCTCACTGTCAGAATGCTTTTCCTGAGGTTTAGTTGGAATCTCCTTTCTTATAACTTGAAGCCATTTGTTTGAGTCCTACCCTCCAGAGCAGGAGAAAATAAGTTCATTCCCTCTTCCATGTGACATCTCTTGAAGCTGGCTCTCATAACTCCTGTCAAGTCTCCTCTTTTTCAGACTAAACATACCCAGCACCTTCAACTGTTCCTCATAAGGCTTGGTTTCCAGACCTTTGATCATCCTGGTTGCCCTCCTCTGCACATGTTCCAGCTTGTCAACATTCTTCTTAAATTGTGGTGCCCAGAATTGGACACAGTATTCCAGGTGTGGTCTGACTAAGGCAGAATAGAGCGGCACTATTACTTCCCTTGATCTGGACACTAGACTTCTGTTGATTAAGTCTAAAATAGCATTAGATTTTTTAAATATTTTTTTTGCTGCTGCATCACACAGTTAACACATTAAGCTTGTGGTCCACCAAGACCCCTAGATCCTTTTCACATGTACTACTGTCCCCCATCTTATAAAACAGTCAGTTTGTAAACATTTAGAAAAGGATGCTGTGATTACTAAGACCCAGGATAGGTTTCTTGAAAACAAGTCAAGCCAGGCAAATCTCATTTTTCTTTCTGATGCTATTACAAGCTTGGTGGATCAGCGGAATGCTGTGAACACAGTGTATCTTGACTTCAGTAAGGCTTTTGACAAACTCTCCCATGATACTTTTGTGAGGAAGCTGGTAAAATGTAAGCAAACAAGGTAACTGTGGGGTGGATTTGTAACTGGTTGACTAACCAAACCCAAAGAGTACTCATTAATCCTCCTCATCCTGGAAAAAAGTGACAAGTGGGGTGCCGCAGGGTTCTGTCCTGGGCCTGTTGTTGTTCAACATCTTCATAAACAACTTAGATGAAGGAATTGAGGAGATGCTTATCAAATTTACAGAAGACACCAAACTAGGAGGGGTAGCTAATGTTGCAGAAGACAGAATCAGGATTCATACTGGAGAACTGGGCCCAAATTAACAAAATGAAGTTCAATACATGTGAAAAGGATCTAGGAGTCTTGGTTGACCACAAACTTGACATGAGCCAACAGTGTGACGGGGCAGCTAAAAAAGCCAAGGCAATTCTGGGCTGCATCAATAGGAGTATAGCATCTAGATCAAGGGAAGTAATAGTGCCACTGTATTCTGCTCTGGTCAGACCTCACCTGGAGTACTGTGTCCAGTTCTGGGCACCACAGTTCAAGAAGGACACTGACCAACTGGAACGTGTCCAGAGGAGGGCAACCAAAATGGTCAAAGGCCTGGAAACGATGCCTTATGAGGAACGGCTAAGGGAGCTGGGCATGTTTAGCCTGGAGAAGAGGAGGTTAAGGGGTGATATGATAGCCATGTTCAAATATATAAAAGGATGTCACATAGAGGAGGGAGAAAAGTTGTTTTCTGCTGCTCCAGAGAAGCGGACACGGAGCAATGGATCCAAACTACAAGAAAGAAGATTCCACCTAAACATTAGGAAGAACTTCCTGACAGTAAGAGCTGTTCGACAGTGGAATTTGCTGCCAAGGAGTGTGGTGGAGTCTCCTTCTTTGGAGGTCTTTAAGCAGAGGCTTGACAACCATATGTCAGGAGTGCTCTGATGGTGTTTCCTGCTTGGCAGGGGGTTGGACTCGATGGCCCTTGTGGTCTCTTCCAACTCTATGATTCTATGATTCTATGATTCTATGAATAGGGACAAATGAAAGGTTCTGCACTTAGGCAGGAATAACCAGCTGCACCAGTATAAGATGGAGGACACCTGGCTTGCCAGTAGTACATGTGAAAAGGATCTTGGGGTCTTGGTCAACCACAAGCCAGTGGCGGAAGAAGGGGGCAGGGGGCGGTCCACCCCGGGTGCCATCCGTGAGGAGGGGTGACAAACCCGCACCGACACCACAGCATGTGGGGAATCGCCCATCCTGATGCCACAGCACGTGGTGGATCATGCCCCCCTGCGCAGCTCACCTGCCGCCAATGCCGCAATGCGAGGAGGATCTCCCCACCTGCAGCTCGCCCCACTGCTGGTACGTAGTGGCGCTGTGCATGCACCACCAGGTGGTTTGCCCCTCCCCTGTGGGTGGTTCGTCCCGCCCCTCAACACATCACACCGGGTGCCAAAGAGCCTTGCTTCGCCCCTGCCACAAGCTTCATATGAGTCAACCTTGTGATGCAGCACCAAAAAAAAGCTAATACTATTCTGGGCTACATCCACAGAAGCATTGTGTCCAAAATAAGAGCTGTTCCACAGTGGAACAGTCTCCCTCAGAAGGACTCTTCCTTCTTTGGAGATTTTTAAGCAGAGGTTGGGTGACCATATGACATGGATGCTTTAGCTGAGACTCCTAAATTGCAGGGGGTTGGTCTATGACCCTCAGGTTCAACTCTGCAATTCTATGGCACTTACATGATGCAACTATCAAGAGGGCCGTGCTTGATGATGTATTAGATGATGTCAGTGTTATTGAGACGGTGATACATAGTGGTGATACAACAGCATTTGCTTCATAAAAAGGTAAAGGGACCCCTGACCATTAGGTCCAGTCGTGGCCGACTCTGGGGTTGCAGCGCTCATCTTGCTTTATTGGCCGAGGGAGCCAGCATGACTAAGCCGCTTCTGGTGAACCAGAGCAGCGCACGGAAATGCCGTTTACCTTCCTGCCGGAGCGGTACCTATTTATCTACTTGCACTTTGAGGTGCTTTCGAACTGCTAGGTTGGCAGGAGCTGGGACCAAGCAACAGGAGCTCACCCCATCGCGGGGATTCGAACCGCCGACCTTCTGATCGGCAAGCCCTAGGCTCTGTGGTTTAACCCACAGCGCCACCCGCGCCGCATTTGCTTCATAGTATGGCTTATTTCATACAATGAACCTATTCCAGAGAAAGTCAGTTGCACTTTGTATTTAACTTCTTTCACTGGTTACATTGAAACTTAATGAGGATTAACTTTGTATGTTCACAGACAGAACATGGGGTTGTTTTAAAGTAATACTAAAAAACTTGAACTACAATTATGAACTGAAAATTTATGATTTTTTCACATTTTAAAATGACATATTACAAGAACTATTATAAAAAAAAATCCCAGCAGCATTAAAAATAGGGAGCTACTGGCAACATGAATGCAATGAGTCTACAATGAAAAACTGACTTTTTATCCCTAAACTAACTGCATTTCTTTGTTATATCATGAAGTGGTTTTCAAAGACAAAGTTTAAAATGGAAGGCATTGATGGTAATTGATGTCATGCATTTTATTTTATTTTTGTCATTTCTGTCAGGCTTCAAATGTTAGTAGGAAGGGAATAAGTGGGAGAATGCAAAAAAAGGGGAAGAGGAGTTCAGGATGAAACGTACTGAAGTTCTAGGAACTGTGAGGCATCCCTGTGATGTTGTTGCAGTAAGTGCTACACTTTTAACATGGGGGGGGGGGAGAGGAGGTACTGGTACTGCGTACCCTTGAGCATCCCCAGAAAAAAAGCACTGGGCCTCATGCCATGTTCCAGGAGGAGACATTTTGCATCTGTGGAGTCCCCCACCAAGAGTTGTAACAGTGGCTTTGGGGGGCCGTGGCCCTGGGCACAGAACATGGAGAGGTACGAACCAGGTGCCCCTTGCAGAGATCCCCGTTGTACCCTACCTGGCTCCGGCAGCAAGGGCTGGGTCAATGTGGAGGGTGAAGAACATCCTCACCCAGCTCTCAACGCCCAGCGCCTGCCCAATGTACAAACAATATACAACACAATACAATATACAAACAATATTCAAAAATAGTATTGTCCCACTAGTATTGATTCCCTAGCAGGTGTGCATGAGATCACAGCCTTAGTCCTAACTCAGCAGTCCTGGTTTCAGGATACCGAAGGCTCTTAGACCTGGCACCCTCCAGGAGCCCCCAGAAACCCACTCACAGAGGGGGACATGCAGACTGAGCATTCCCCTAGGCTGAATTTGATCTTCTTGGACACATTCTCCAAACGGGATATTTCAGAGCAGTTGGTTTAGGTAGCATGGCCTCAGATGGCCTTGGAAATACCCAGCTTTGCCACCCTCTGGGGTCGCCTCTATCAGGATTGGGGCCAAAAGTCAGAAGTAAGTTGCCAGTATTCCCTGTTTGGATTAATCACAAATATATCATACCCTCCAACATTTATCCAATGAAAATAGAGACATTCTCTTCTACATCAGGAAGCTTCTCCAGACACACATGTATGTCATATACACATATAAATCTGCCACCTTGAGCAAATTACAACTTCTCAGTCTAACCTACCTCACAGGATTGTTGTAAAGAAAAAACGTGTGAGCAGCTGCCAGAGAAAAAGGCGGGATATATCATCATCATCATCAACAACAAGAGAAACTGAGGATGATCAGTAAATCCTATTGAACTCATTGGGACTTAGTTCTGAGTAAAAATGCTTTGGATTGCAGTGTAAGGCTGTCCGGTCTTTACCCAGTTACCTGGGAGTAAGCTCCACTGAATACAGTGTAAGGCTCCATTTACATTAAGGAATAAACACTCCTGGTCTTCTCTAAGGAATGTCTGTTTGCTGAAGCATTGCAATTAAATAATTTCAAATGGATTGGTGACATTTTCCTTCAAAATTATAGGAAGGGCTTTGTATGCTGTGAGGAAGAATGGTGGGAGCCCTCCTCTCCCTCTGCACAAGGGCCTGATCCTGAAGCTCCTCTGGAGCAGGAGGATAGTATTGACCTAGACTAGAGCAATGGTTCACTTCTGTGGCCACAGAAGGGCACAGTTCGGGAACTGACAGCTGGGCTGAGCTGGGAGAAGAGCAACCAAGGGGAGAGGAACGGGAAGAGAGAGAGCTGGTTGAATCTCCCTCACTAAAAAGTGTGCAGCCCATGAGCCCTAGAGCCAGGCGTCTGGATAGGGCAGCCTCTCAAAAGGCTCAGTGGTGGAGGGATCACATGGTGAGGAGATGGGAAAATGCAAGTAACTAGAGGGAAGTGGGAGGAACTCAATTGGGAGCACCTGCACTGTGAGAATGGATGATGTTTGTGCTGTGTGCAGTAAATCTCTCTGTTGCTGCAAAAGACTGCTTTCACCTTGTGTGCTGTTCTCTACAGGTTAGCCTTGCCTGGCTGATGGGGTTTACTGAGGCCACGTATTCACAAAGCCTCAGGAAGCCCGAAGGGCAAGGATATATACAGATAGTTTTATTGTTCTTTGGGTGGCAGGTACTTAGAAGGTGTCGGAAACTAAATCTGATAAGGGGCAAGTTGGTGAACTCTTGTAACCTCACAATATCCCCTCCCTCCTTGTGACATGCTGCCGATGTATCAATGATGTATCAATGATGCTTCTGGGATGCATTATGGGAAGGGAGGGAAGGTCTTAAAAGGGCATGTAGCCAAATGTTTGGGGTTTTTACTCTGTGTGGGGACCTGTTGCGCAACAATAAAGATTGTGGTCTACTGACTACTGTTTTGCTCCATTACTTGACTGGAACTTCCTTCTTTGCTAACTGTATAGACCCGCAGGGACTTGCACCCTGACGAGCTGAGCTGCAGAGCATCCTCGCACCCAGAATTTTCCTTAACAGTAAAGATACAGAAGCACTTGGGACACAATAAAGTGTGCAATCATAAGAGGTTGCCATAATTGCTCAAATTACAGCACCTCTTCAAATCCTCTCTCAAATGCCATGGCCTCCTGAGCACTGCCCACTTGTGAACCCACTCCCAGATGCTTTCATGAGAGCCACAATGCAGGTGAAGCAGCCCGAAAAAATGGTCTAAGACTGAAGGAATTGATCGACTTAAACAGAACACAAAGAAGCAAAATCATCTCCCAGCATGCTCTGGCTCCCATGGCATGGAGAAATCGTATGAAGTTGGGCATGCGGGTGAGGGTTGCTCCTTTGCCCATCTCCCCCTTCTCCAAGCCATGGAGTTTGAAGAAGTTCACTCCCCAACCAGTGCTGGATTTACGTATAAGCTAAACAAGCTATAGCTTAGGGCCCTACTCTCTTGGGGGCCACCAATTTTTTTTAAAAAAAAACCTGGATGTACATTTCCAAAATATAAGATAAAAAACAAATAAAATAAAATAAAACCTACACACAGCAACAGTGTTTTGTGTTGTGTTAGCTGCTATGATGTAAGTAATGGGCCCCGCATATAGCATATATTCAGCACAAAAAACAGTGACAATTTGTTGTTGACAAAGGACAGCTGGACATATAAAGGGCCCCATTACCTTCAATAGGGATGCAGGTGGCGCTGTGGTCTAAACCACAGAGCCTAGGGCTTGCCAATCAGAAGGTCACATCCCCGCAACGGGATGAGCTCCTGTTGCTCTGTTTGAGCTCCTGCCTACCTAGCAGTTCGAAAGCACATCAAAGTGCAAGTAGATAAATAGGTACCACTCCAGCGGGAAGATAAACAGCATTTCCGTGCGCTGCTCTGGTTTGCTAGAAGCAGCTTAGACATGCTGGCCACATGACCCAGAAGCTGTCTGTGGACAAATGCCAGCTCCCGCGGCCTACAGAGCGAGATGAGCTCCAAACTCCAGAGTCGTCCGCGACTCGACCTAATGGTCAGGGGTACCTTTACCTTCAATAGCTTAGGGCCTCATCAAACCTGAATCCAGCCCTGCCCCAACCTGCATGATCTCTCTGGGGCTGCTCCTTTGCCCACAATCTCCACCGCCCACGTGTGATCTCTCCATGCCATGAGAGTGGTGATCAGGCATTTGGGAGAAGAACCCCCGCCCCCATCACGATCTAGCCCTGGAGAGAGTGGTCACTCCTCCTGAGACCACCTGGGAGAAAAGAGGCAGCCTCCGGGGCCAGCTGAGAGGTGCCAGAACGCTGTTCCAGAGGAAAAAAGTCCTGAGATCCCAAATCATCATAAAAGGCAGCTCTATGTATAATGCATTACCGTACGTTCAACTAGGAGGTCACCAGCACTAAGCTTGCCCTATCCCCAAATGGCCAGGGTTACTTAACCAGCCTCAGCTGGTAAAAGGTATTGTTGTCCCAGTGTCCATCTGAGCCTGAAGCAATGGCACTGGCTCAAGAACCAATACCCTGTACAACTGCTCTTTCGAAGGGCATGTGGCCCAGACCACACAGGAAGCATGCCAGTTTGGTGAATCTGAGAACCACCTACCCATATCTACATGTCATAGAAATGTAAGGAGATTCAAACAAAGGGAACTTAAGGAAGACCAAAGACACCTGTCAGGGGTTCAGGGACAGAGGCACAGGGTAGGCAGGAGATGGAGAGCGATGGGGATGAATCCCAGGACAGCGAGGAAGAGGATGACAATGACTCAAGAGATTCCATGAGTCTTTCCAGCGAATCAGAGGATTCCCAGAAGGGGGCGCCAGGGGGGTCAAGGCCAGGGGAGCCCCAGGGGGGACGTGTCAGGAGCAGGGGCCAGCGGGGGATCCCAAAGTGGCAGCTGGGCGTCAGGACCAGCCTCCCCGCCAGAGTGCAGCGAAGGGGGTGGAGGTTTCAGTGTATCAGGGGAAGCGGCTCCGGCAGCAGAGAAGGGAGGGAGGTCGGAGCAAGCCACCCTCCCGGAAGGGGAGGGAGTAGTGAAGGGAGTAGTGTAGCTGTTAAAAGGAAGGTTAGAGGTTGGGCGCGCGCGCCAAGTTCAAATGTAGAGGCGCGCGGAAGTACAGGGAGCCCGGAGGAGGGGCCAGGTCCCAAAGCCCGCAGGAGGGGGCAAGAGCAGTCTGATTCCGCGTCAGAGGAATCCAGAAGGGGCGCAACCCCAGGGGGCAGAAGGACCCTGCGGAAAAGGAAGGAGAGAAAGAGGTGGAGCAGCGCAAGTCTCTTAAATTGGTGCAGAGGAGGCACTGACTCAGAGGGGACTTCGGCGGTCTAGCGTAAGAGACGTAAGGCTGCGCGCCTAGGATGTCAAGCAAACCATGAACTGCAATAAACACCTTTGTATACAAGAACACGTAGGCGTTGGTCTTTTGTGAGCTAAGACTTGAGGCAGCCTTGACATAATGATTCAACTATTTTGCAAATAGATACATTTGCCTTCTGATTTAACTGATCGTCAAGGTTATTGGATATATCAGCTACTCTTCGCTGCATGGTCATACGGTACAAACTGATATTCTCAAAAACACTTTTTTAATTGGGATATAATCAAGAAACTGCAATCAGCAAGCACTTCTTTATGAAGTCACCTTCAGTAAAAGACTTCCCAGCAACAGCAATTTCTTTAGAAATCTGAAAACAAACCTTAGCAGCTGCCTCATTTTCTGAGTTTACTTTCTTGAAAAAACGTTGTTTCCCACTGAGATTTTTCAACAAATTGGAAACTTTAATTTGTTTTCACTGGTGTCCAATTTACTTAAGTCAGGATGTTTTGATTCGAAATGACGATGATGACTGTATTAAACACTATGCTCTGATTTGATCTTCCATTTCTTTTTATCACCCATTTTACAAAGTCACCCCAAAAACTTTAATGTTGGAACCCAAAAATCTCCACAGCAACTGCTCACATACAAAGGAATATTGAACTGAGTGTCTGAACTTGGAGAGAGCACCAGATACTTGTGTAACTTGGAGGGCAGCAGCAGAACAAGGGAGGGGAAGAAGCCCTCACGTTGTGACTACTCATCACATAGTGGGCATCAGCTGCATTGGTGCTTGGCTGCACCCACTTTGTCCCGGTTCAACAGCAGTAACAACTGAACACACAGTAAAAAGATACGACTCTTGCTCCTCTCAGACTGATGATGGTTGGTGTCAGGGACCATGCTGAGGAGGGCTACAATGAGGAGGCATCTCCCCAGGAGCAGGAGGACAGTAAAGATTTAGAACAGTGGTTTGCAGAGGGCCATAGTTCATCCAGTATTTCCCAGTATTTGCTGGGAAATACTGGATGAAGAGCAGCTAGGAGAAGAAACACTGGAAGAGAGAGGGTTAACCGATTCACATTTGTTGAATAGCATCTCCCCCCTCCTCCACATTCTAGGAGAGCTGAGAAAGTTGCAGAACAGAAAGCACAGAGACTACAAGCTCAGGTTACCAGATGTAGGGGTGAACTGAGAGGGACAGGGCGGGGGGGGGGGGACATGTAGCCTTAATTGGAAGCACCACCATTGTTAGAAGGAGATGTTCTTATCCCTCGCTGTGATTATTAAAGAATTCTAACTGGTAAGAAGACTCTGTTCACTTTGTTCTGCCAAGGGGGGGAGGAAGACGATTCCTTGAAGCCTGTCAGTTGGTTGCCGTGGGTCACGTGACAAAGAGGAGAGAGTGAGCAGTGGTAACCCACCCACCAAGTTACATGACGGGCACAATCGTGACTAGTGGAAGGCAGGTTAAGACAAAGCACACATTACATCTTTACTTTCTATTACATCCGCTACATTTTTCACGGCCTGTTCGAAATCCTTTGGCCGGCCACAAGCGGCCCATGGGGCATATGCTGTGCAGGCTTGGAGCATAACATCAGTCTTTCCTCCCAACCCCCCCAAAAGGAGCAAATAGTGTGGGGGTGGTGGATGCAGCATGGGGGCACACCCCCACGCCACAGCGTGTCTAGCCGCCATGCCCACTCTTTGGCCTTTGCCTCCCTCGCAGAAAGCTTTGCTTTATGTTTCACTTGGCTGGAGCATGACAAGTGAAGCAGACTTTCAAGTATCAGGGGAACATTTGAGGGAAGCACCTGGTTTGACGCGTGTATCACCCATGCTAGAAATGTACCCTTGCTGGAAATATGTTAAGTTCAGGGTGGTTTCGCTACTGTTTCCAACTGTTGATTTCTGCTAATAAAAAGAGGCTCTACAAAGCTACCGGCAGCTTGCTTTGCTTGCTTGCTCCTGCACAGCTCACATGCATTCAACTCCCGTTTCGTCCTCTGTTATTTTTGCAAAGTAGCATAGCTTCCCTATTACCTAAAGAGTCTATCCAATGAAAATTAATTGAATTATTATATCACTTTGGGCTGCTTTCTCCTTTTGCCCATGAAATGAGATTTTATCCTTCTGCAGATCTACACAACACCATACAAACTGTTGCAGCTGAAGTGATTCCCTGCCCCCTTCAGTGCTGTAAAAATAAAAGCATAGCACCTTGAAAACAAATTGCCAATACATCTTCTAGCTAAAAGCATCATTCAGACCTAAACATTATTCCTTAGGAGGCTTTAAGGTGTATCCTGCCTCTCACCAAATTCCATCCTTCAACATTTACAAATAATAGCTATTTTCCCCACCTACTGTGAAATGGTTTGACTTATTCTACCCAGTTGCTCAAGGGGCCTCCTCTTAAACCCACAACACTTACTCAAGCAAACTTACTCAAGCAAAGTTAATGTTGGGGTTTTTATTTCTCTACCTAGTTTGAATACTACAGATGATTAAAAGCTGCCAGCACATATGTGCCTCCCATAATCTCTCTCTCTCTCAAATTCCCACATATTTCCCACTTCACACACATTAGAAACATTAATAGGAGCATGTCAGAAAAAAGCTATACATAAGATATCGGGGGAGTAGATTGATTTACTGCTGGGATATTTTTTGCAAGATCTGGTTGTATAACAAAATCCAATCCGGGGATATTCTCACTGCTGTTCAAAATGCACAAGCCACAACCACAGAGAACTCATATTAAGTCATCCTGGCAATTCTACACATGTCCTGAAATCTCCAGGTCAAACTGCAGGTTGCCGTTAATGCCCAGAATACACTGACATCTCTCTTGCATTTTCTTTAATTAATTACAGCCACAGGAGTTTTTCTTGCGGGGGGGGGGGGAGGGGAGAGTGTTGTTGGCAGGATCACAGGTTATGGGGAAGAGATTTATGCCTTCTGTCACCAGCTGTGCAACTCCCCCCCACCCCCAATGTTGAGGATTCGTTGTTGATTTTTTCAAAAGTTCCCACTGGTGCTCCATGAGAACTTTTTAATACACTAATCCTAATTGTCCATTTGGAGGGGGTGTAAGACTCCTCACCTTGCATGCTGTGATCCCAATTACAGGGAGCAGAAGGAGGAGGCTGTTAACTAACTTCAGAAGAATAAGAGATGACCAAAAGTTTTTGTGGCCACCACTGACTATTAGCTGACTAAAGCTGACCTCAGAAACTTCTGAGATTGCATGGAGATCTCTGATGGATAGCAAAATCTTTGAAGTACAAATCAGAAAAAATGTGTATTTATATAACAGCTTTGCAGAGCATTCCTGTACCTGTTTCTCTGAAGGAGCACTGCTTACTCCCAGATAAATGTGCAAAGGATTGCAACCTAAGTTAATCTTTCTGACGCACCTGTAATACTTTTTCTATTTTTCTGTTTCACAACAGCTTTGCTATTCCCCTTGACTAAATGTATTTCAGCACTCTCAGGGATTCAGCAGAAAATACTTATCTTCTCTTCCTGTTCCCCAAATTTATGAAGTGATCAGAAAATACAGCACAGCTGCCCAAGTGTGCCATTCTCTAGTCTTCAGCACACAGACGATGCTTTTACAGCATTTTCTAAACATCTTCAGTTGGAGCAGGGAAATAGAAGTAAAAGCATAAGAACTCTGCTGGATCAGACCAAAGGCCTACCTCGTCCAACGTCCGTCTCTCACAGGGGCCAGCCAGTTGCCTCTGGGAAGCCCCTAAGCCGGGCACAAGCCCACCTCCACTTAGGATCCACAGCAATTGGGATGCAGAGGCATACAGCCTCTGACACTGGGAGAAATTGGGGAGGTAACGCTCCACCTTGCGAAGGCAGACCTCACACTAGACATGCAACAGTATGTCAAGGAGCGTTGCACTGGCTTTCCCTGACCTTTTGCCTTATCGGCTAGAAAACAGGGTTTTTCCCCTGACCGTTTGTCCTCTCACAGATTTGTTTACTAGACATAACGCTTGGCTGGAGCATGACCGGGAACGCAGACATAATCAAGTATCGGGAAAACATTCTAGGGAAACACCTGCTGACACATGTATTTGCTAATGCTGGAAATGTGCTTAGATGGAAATACGTCATGTTCAGGGTGGTTTCGCTACTGTTTTCAATTGTTGACTTCTGCTAATAAAAGGAGCCTCTACAGAACTAGCTGGCAGCTTGCTTGGAGCATGCTTGCCAGCGTGCTTCTGCACAGCTCACCTGCATTCAACCTCCCGTCGTATCCATTATTCCTACAGAAATCGAGCCACCAGGACTAGTAGCTGCTGACAGCTGCATCCTCTGCAAATTTGCCTAATCCTTTTCTAAAGCTGTCCAAGTCTGTGGCCATCACTCCATATTGTCGTGAATTCCTGAGTTCACTATGCACTGTGTGTCAGGTCTTAAAAAGCAGAGAGGTGAGTTGCAGAACTCTATTCCTCTCCCTGCTGACAGAAGAATGTGCTGCCTGCAGGTGCATGATAAGCAACAATTGTGCTCTGTTTTCTCCCCACAACCAAAGTTTAACTGAGGTCAGGTGGAGAGGCAATCATCTGAATGCAGCAAAAATATTCTAACTTCTCTGCAGAAGCATTTATAACCAATGCCTGTGGCCACATCTATACATTAATCAGCCAAGCTCTCCTTGAAAAACAGAGGCTGCCAGCGCAAGTCATGCTGCAAATGCAAGTGAAATACCGTCAGAAGAAACAAACAGCACCTCTAATTCGCTGAACAAAAACCGCCGTGGTCTAGTAGATAAGGGTGCTTGAATTTGACTCGGAATCGCAGGGCTCAGCATGAAGCTCACTTGGGAGACCTTGATCAGACCACTTTAAAATATGAGAAGAGCCCTGCTAGATTTTAAAAATTGCTTTCATAAACAACACAAGAGAGGCCAAGAGACCCTTCCCAACCCCCTCAGCTAATCTTTCCAGAGCACCTTGCTTCTTCTGGCATCAGGAGAACCGAGGAAGTTGCAGCAAAGAGAAGTTGCAGAGCCTTTGCTCCTCACTCTGCTGACAGAGAAAGATGAGGGTGCACAATGTGCATCAGCCAGTGCTGAATGGAAGGAGCAGGGGAGTGGGATTTCTTTGGGTGCCTGAATTCACAGTCGCTACAGGTGCCAGGAAGCCTATGAGTTTATGGTGGCTTGCTCACAGTGTGCTTTATGAACCAGTTTACTGTGTTGTGATGTGGGTAAAATAAGTTCACACTAGACATACAGGACATGGTAGCTAGAAAACAATTCTCTCTAAGATGCAGAGATCTGTCACAATATCAGAAGGAAATTATGGAATGGAAAATTTAAACCAATTTTTAAGGCTTTCTCATTTAAAACAGGTTTCTTTGGGCATAAACACGATAGATACTAAACTACTGCAAATGCCAGAATAAATACTGGTATTTTAGGCAGCCTGGTATAAAAGAGCCATAGATTTTTATTTTTAAATCAAGCTTGGTTTCGCCAAGCTCTCACAGTTTCCTATAGACCAAAATTTTCAGTACAGCATTAAATATGTTTTTCATCTGTCTCTTATGAAAGAGATAAGAATCTGACAGCCTGAATAATAGATAATAGAATGATGCCTTGTCATAACTTCCTAATCCCTTGTTTGTGGAAAGAGTGGGGGAGAAACAGGTGGTTCTAAGCTTTTAAAGCTATCATCTGGCAGATAATAAAAGAAGCTGAAATCGTTTCGGTGTGATGGATTTAGTCTGAGGCCATCTTTCAGAATCTTGGAGGCGCTATATTAACAGCTGAGCAACAAAAAGGACCAGTTGCTCTCACTTAAAGAAGCATGGCTCAAGAGAAAAATACCATACACAATTTGAGTACTTATTTCTTTACACATAGAAAATTCTTATGTTTGAGTGGCAGTCTTGAATTCAGTAAACATCAACCATTTCTTATGTGCCAATGAATTATAGTTGGGAGTAGGCATTACATTCTGAAAGATTTGCTTGAAGACATGCAAGGGCTACGATGGATTAATATTGTGCCTCATAGAGGGCAGATCATAAGAGAAGGTTTAAAAAACCCAGTTCAGTGACACCTTAAAAGAGGGCTTAATGGCTATTGAACTTTTGCTTGTACTGAGGCTCTAATAAGAAGACTAAGAGTGCAAGTCTATTCATGTCTACTCAGAAGTAGGTACCACCTAGTTCAATGGGGCTTACTCTCAGGTAAGGGCTCTCAGCATAGGGCTGACACTTTACACAAGAATAAATTATCTAATCAAACATATGCTTATGTAAACTGTTTAGGAAAATAGGCGCTGCTTAGTTTGGGGATCTGAGCATTTAGTAGTAGTATTCTTTAAAGTACTGGTGGCACTGGCAACCCCTTTTTGGCAGTTCTGCCACAAGTTCAAAATATTATAGAGAGCCACTCTAAGGCACACTGGAATGCATATTCCATCTGCTAAGCCTTTGGGTGCTTTTGCTTTATTCTTCCAGACGAGGAAGCCAGAAAAGCAAGACAAAGGAGTCAGTCTCATTATGCCATGGTCATGCCTTTGGCTCCTCCTGTCTTTGTCCAGAAGTGCCACATATTCTTGCTGCCTGTTCCAGTTGGGGTAGCCATGCTACTGGTTGGCCACACATGCTTTAAAGAGACTACAACAGTTATCCATAGTCTCTACACACCCACCCATGAGAGAGAGAGAGAGAGAGAGAGAGATGAAGCTTACAGGATAAATTCCGTTAGATTGCACCATTTTGAAGAGTCCACTTTGTGCATCATCTCTTGAAAAGATTTCCCACACAAAGGCAGGTTTTGTAACATGAGGGATTCATTGCAGATAACCCCTTGCTGTGCACCTAGAACAAAAAGAAAGGATCTTTTAAAACCAACAAGGAAGCATTAATGATTTCTCAATCTCTCGCTGGAGAGAGATTGAACTAAACCGTTTGAAAACACAGATCAAAAGAACATAAACCAATTTTTAAAAGAATCGGTATTTTTTGTTTTTTTTTGAAAAAGATAAACCAATTTTGAAAAGGATCATTTTGCCTACTTTATGTCTCAGAGCTGATTTGGACATGATAAAATAAAGGCTTTTGTAGCATAATTTATTCCCTTGACAGAAATCAAATCATAGAGATGGAGCAAATTTTGTGTGTACAGAAGTCCTCAGCATCTCCAGTTAAAGGATCTTAAGCAGCAGACCAGGAAACACCTAGCAGAGTTGCTGGCAGAGTTGCACTATTAGACTAGACAGAACTATTAGACAGGCTTCCCATATATGTCTGGCTGATGACTGTAAGAACAGGATGCTGGATTAGATGGGTCTTGAGGTTTATAACAAGGTCAATTCATATTTAAGTCAGTGGACCCAGTTTTACATTTAGAAAGACTGCCAGACTACAAGCCAGCTCACACATTGTTTGCTAAAATAAAACTGAATGTGGCATTTGGAAGTGTATGTGGAGGCCATGGCGGTACTGCCATGTTGGCTGGAAACGGAACAAGTGCACAATTGCATGAACATCTCAAAAGACATTACTTCCTAGTTAGGTCTAGAGTTCATCTAACTGATCTAACCCAGGGTTGAATCTAGACACATAGTTGCTTGCATGGAACTTCAAAGGAAGCAGCCACTGGCACAAAGAAAAGGCAAGAGCGTCAGCTCTGCAGTTGGCAAATTGATCCCAAATCACAGCAATGCTATGCTTCAAGTAACCATTTTGCATGTCCTACTCAGCAGTTGTAAAACATGGGGATTCTACAAAGGCTGCTCCAGTAATGTGGATGAAAGGTCTGTGAGTTTCGCTGTTGTTCACAACTCATAATTACTGCACTGTGCAACTTGTGCATGCTAAAAATATAAATAAATGTGTGGTTTATGTTTGAAAGGCTGTGGGATCATATAAACCCCACATATCATTTGTTTACTTTTTTGTATTTTACAGTGTGGGATAATATTGACTCGCATGACATCTGTGCAGCAGTATAATTTTACTGGAAAAAGGAAGGTCTCAGGAAGTACATGAGTTCTTAACTTGCAAATGGTGTCATGTTTGATAACTTCTCCTAAGTATTTTATTTATGTTGCTTTCTTGGGATCCACTTCATCTAAACAAAGAATTGATACTGTCAGGTTTTCTGTTGACACCACCCTCATAAATCATTTATATGGGAATCCAAATCAGGGGTAGGCAACCTAAGGTCCATGGGCCACAAGCAGCCCACAGGGGTCGTTTAACCAGCCCACAAGCCGCCCCCGAACTGAGCCACCTGCTCAGCGAGTCCCCGTGCGCTGCACTAAACCGGCACAGCGCGGTGACTTGCTTTCATGGTGCCGGAAATCGCATCTGCGCAGACGCAGACAGAAGACAGAAGTAATCTATATTAGACAAAACAATTTAGAAAAAGTAAAAAATTTGAGGTCTTAGTGTTGAATGGTCTCTTTAAATTTGAAGGTTCATTATTGTTCCACAAGATGTGTATGTCTTTAAGGGCCAGAGCAAATAACGTGACCCAGTTTTACAGCTGTGAAGCAGGTGCTGTTAAGTTGTGTTAATTAAGCTGTGTCAGCACCTAGCTCTCTCAGTACCCTGGTGGTTGGGTCGGTCATGCTTGTTGATGTATTTAGTGTAAAAGGAGTTTTTGTTTTTGTTATTAAAACCTTGCTAAAGTTATTTTGCGTTCCTTGTAATGTGTGTTCTCCCTAGCTAGCTTTCTGCAGCGCAACTAATCTGCAAATAGCCAACACTTAGAACAAAGGAAGGAAGTCAATATGTGTATTTGTATGTAATGACTAAATTAGAATGAAGATATGGTTTTATTTGTAGATGTCTGCTTTGTCTTTTGTTTTTTGTTTTGTTTTTTGTGTTCTCTTTTTCTATCTTGTTTGAATAGTATTATTTTGGATTCAATGTTTGTAATTTTTGTTGTTATTTCACATTGAAAGTAATAATTTTTTTTTAAAAAGAAAAGAATCTGTGCCCCAAGGTCCTTGAGCTTCCAGCCCAGAGTCTCATAGTTCCTTGCTACACATCAAGGGATGGCAGTATCATTTGAATGCACATGGATCAGAAGGGAGGAGTTGTGGCCAGTGGGCCTTGGCAACTTCTCTGTCACTTCTTGAATCGTTGCACCCAGGACATCCTGCTACCTCTGCACACTGCTGCCTCTGTCCCCCTCAGTAAGGAGTCACCTTCTACCAGTGCTTTTTTTTCTAGGGGGGGGGGAAGGTGCTGGTACTCACTCTCCCTGGGCATTTCTGGCAAGGGGAGGGAGAAGGGAAGGCAGCAGAAGCAGCAGCTGTGGTGGTGGACAAGGAGGAGGAGGAGAAAGATGAGAGAGGGAGGGAGGAGAGAGGGCTGCCCATCTGCCTGCCTGCCTGAGAGCCTGGGCACTTGCCTGGCACCAGGGCTGCTGGGCATCGGTGAAAAACTGAGCAGGCAGAAGAGGATTGGGGCATTCTGGGGGAGGCAGCAGAACTGGGGGCTCTCACATTGCCTGGCTCCCAACGGGGATGTGGCAGGAGCTGGGAAAGGGCGTCCTGCTTGGTGCTCAGGGATTTTTCCTCTCCCTCCACTCCATTGCCTTGGAGACAGGGAAGAGTTCAAGCATGTAGGGCGGAGGCCTCTGGAGCAGCCCAAGCCAGCTTCCCACGGCTCACAACAAACCTGCAGTGGCTGCTTCAGTCTGCCCTGGCCTGTCAAATGTAGCATAGGCAGGGGACAGACTTCTCATGGTCTCATCTCAGATGGAAAAGAGGGCAGGGCTCCTGCACATGCAGGTCTTGTGGAGGAAACAGAATCTCCGTAGCAAATGTCACTTACACGCCATAACCAGCCATTGGTGGTGGTAGTAAGACTTGCCACTCCATGAAAGTGCTGCATGAAGTGGGGGAGGGGCAGGCAGGGAAACACCAATGCAATCCTTTCACATTGCTGTATTCTCAGCAGTGGAAAAACATTCCTCAGAAATACATAAATTGGACCACTTGTTTCATCCAAAGTATTTCTGCATGCCTTAAATCCTTCATTAAAAAAAAAAGCAGAAAGGGAGCAATTATACCTGGCTTTGGGCTGTACTGCAGGCCAAGACATAATCTGACTAGATTTTAACAGATGTATTATATTAAAAATCTATGTTTCCATATCCATGCTTTTAAATCCCAGGAACCACTGTTTATTGTATCTGTGCAGCACTTAAAAAGCGGTTGTCAGCTACTAAAGAATAGGTGAGGGGACTTCCAGTCATGTAGAAAATGATACTTTTATTACCTGCAACAGAGATTATCTAGCTTCATCTATCTATCACAGATATTTCAAAAATATGCACTCTCTAAGAATGAAAGGTAGAAATTAACTAGGTCTGGATTTTTTTTATCTTGTTGAATATTTAGAATTGTAAATTTATATGCAAATATTCATTAGCTTTATTGATAGTACAGTACATGCATGTTCCTGATAACTCATTGTCAAGCATGTTGTTGTTGTTATTTCTATGCTGCCTTTCAGGGGCTTGCCATCGGAACAGGGTAGGGAAGCAGAGGGGCAGTTGGGTTACAGGGAACCTCTGAAAATCTTGCAAAGGAGTTCCTCTTCCTGTGGTGAGGAAAGCCCCACCTCCAGTGGGGAAAAGGGGAAAGGACCGAAGGATGCTGCTGGGAGCCTCAGCACCGCTCCTGGCCAAGCCGGCCAGGAGGGAAGCACGCCCCTTCCGTCACCCACCCTGCGCAGAGGTGTAAAATGCAAAGAAGGAAGGAAAAGGCTGGGGGTGATGAAGCTCTTATGCTGGGGGAGGTCCCGGAAAAAACCACTCCCAGATTCTGCTAGCGATTGAGGCAGACATGAACTTGTGGCTCTGCACTATAAATAGTTTTGCACCAAAATAAAAATCTGAAAAAGACAGGTCGGAGTCCTGACTCACGAGCAACCACCATTGCCATCTGACACCGCCCATCTGACTGGGTTGCCCCAACCATGTCCCACCAAAAAATAGTAAAAGCACAATACAACATCACACACTAAAAACTTTCCTGAATGTCTAATAATAATAATAATCACATAGCTGTTTATCTGTTTGACATCAGCTGGGACAGCATTCCACAGGGCAGGTGACACTACCAAAAGGCCTTCTGCCTGGTTCCTTGTAACCTCACATTTGGCAATGAGGGAACCAGCAGAAGGCCCTCAGAGGTGGACCTCAGTGTCTGGTTTTGGACGATGGAGGTGAAGATGCTTCTGTTACATATAATAATAATACCTTTATTGTCAATGTACAACCTGTGTACAATGAAATTAACCGAGCCTCCCCCCCCCCACAAACACTCAATCTTATTGCACTCTGTGTGCTTGTCGCACAAAACACCAACCCCAAAAGTCAGTTGCACTATATTATTTTCTGTTTAGGGGACTTCCGGGGTGGCGCCATCGGCAATGGCAGACTCCCTCTGATCTGGAGGGACCAGCTCCACGGGAAACGGGTCTTTTCCGCTACGGCGAAGCGGGGACCCTTTCAAAAATCACAGGCGGATGAAGAAACCTGTGACCATGGGACTCGGCGGGCACCTTTAGCGCCCCCCCAACCCGCAAAAGAACCCACTAACGGGCTCCGGAGCGAAGAGGGGGAAGTGGCGCGGTGCTGAGAGTCAACTTCTTCTTCCGTGGAGCGAAGCCGCACAGCCGTTGCCGGAGAGCGCTGCCTTTTTCCTGGGACAATTTGGCTTCTAAAATAATCACCCGTGAGTACTTAAACTCGGACAATTGGACTTTAAATAAGGACTTGTGAGCAGAAAGGAAAATTGGACTTAAAAGTTTACCTCAATTTAGCACTGAAACGGGAAGGTCTAAACAGGAAGTCAGCCTTCTGTTTCTTTGTAGATAGATTAAAGCAAAGACATGGCAAACTAGAGCTCAGAAAATCGCTTGTAAAAGATTAACTTTCATCATTTAAAATTGTTGAACCCCCTTCGGAAGCAGGAGAAGAGGGGATTTTTTCGGACTGTTTAAACCTGCAGAAGTGAGTGTAAAGTAAAGTAACTTTCCACCGTCCTGATCCTGGAGCGGGGTGTCAGGACTGACGTTTTTTGAAGCTCATTGACCAGAGACAAGATAGCTATAAGAAGAGAAACATTGATTCCATTGTTCCCCTTCGCTTTTTAAAGGAACAAATATTGACAAAATATCTGAAAAAGGAAACTTTGTTGTTAGACTTGTCTTTAAAAGAAAGAACAAATAGAAGTTTTCCCCCTAGAGGGAGACTGTGAAACTGTAACCAACTCCGGGGAGCTTTCAGATTACAATCGTGGGAATAGACTTCTGACCTTGCAGGACAATGTATTCAGAAGCTCTGTTGTGTGCTTTCTCTAAAACAAATGCCCTACTGGAACAGCTATATGAGAAGACGGATTTGATGACTGATGCGATCAGAAATTTTGAACAGGCAGTGGGAAATTATATGGAGCCCACCCAGGAATTAAATCAGGAGTGTGCCCTGACAGAACAGATGAGGGAAGAGGATGTTGCTGAATCTTGGGCGCCAGAGATGGAGGGAGCTGTGGCCCAGCAGGAACATGAGCTTTTGGATTTGACAAATGAACTTGGGAAAAGCCAGATATGGAAAGATAAAGTTTGGTTTGGTTTGGAAATGGGGGATTGGATAGACCCGCCTATGCAGGGATGTTTGGACTTTTCAAGTCTGGCAATGGGCCGTGAGATGTTTGGGGTTGTGGGGGCTCTTAATTTTGGAGGGATCTTGAAACATGTTCTTAAATACCACATGGAGTTTAGTGTGGACTATGGAAAAGGGGCTGATTTGTCGAGAAGGGTCAAAAACATTGTTAAGCTGGAGTTCCCACGAGTGAAAGGAGCAGGAGACAAAGGAAAATACAGTTATAAATATGAATAAGAGCCGCGGAAGGGACATGGAAGAGACTTAAGGGCCTCGGATACAAGGTTACCAGGTTAATGCGCTAGATCGATGGGATAATAAGGACTGACAAAACCCGGGACCAGGAGGAAGGGACGCTGGATGAAGATTGGATTGTTTTTATTTCTTTTTCTACTACTAGGATTGTTTTATAAAATTGATGAATGTTAGAAAAATGTTGGAACGAAATTACTTGGCTTTAGAAAAAATGTTTAAAGAATTATGTAAGAATATTATGGTTATGAGAAGTTGGTAAAAATAAGATTTAAGTTTTAAGCTTTAAGGTTCTTTATAGTAAGATAAGATTAAAATAGATTAAGGTAATGTAATGACAGAATATTATGAAATATGGAAAGGATTTGCTGCGACAATTAACAACTAGGATACAAAAAAAGGGAGCAGGAGGAGGTCAAAGAAAGAAGGTAATGACAGTTGAGGATTTGAGAATGATGGTGTCAAGGCTGCCTCAAGTCTTAGCTCACAAAAGACCAACGCCTACGTCTTCTTGTATACAAAGGTGTTTATTGCAGTTCATGGTTTGCTTGACATCCTAGGCGCGCAGCCTTACGTCTCTTACGCTAGACCGCCGAAGTCCCCTCTGAGTCACTCCCTCCTCTGCACCAATTTAAGAGACTTGCGCTGCTCCACCTCTTTCTCTCCTTCCTTTTCCGCAGGGTCCTTCTGCCCCCTGGGGTTGCGCCCCTTCTGGATTCCTCTGACGCTGAATCCCCAGACTGCTCTTCCCCCCTCCTGCGGGCTTTGGGACCTGGCCCCTCCTCCAGGCTCCCTGCACTTCCGCGCGCCTCTACATTTGAACTAGGCGCGCGCGCCAAACCTCTAACTTTCCTTTTGACAGTTACACTACTCCCTTCACTGCTCCTCCCCTTCCGGGAGGGCGGCTTGCTCTGACCCCCCTCCTCTCTCTGCTGCTGGAGCTGCTTCCTCTGACACACTGGAAACTCCACCCCCTTCGCTGCACTTTGGTGGGGAGGCTGGTCCTGACGCCCAGCTGCCACTTTGGGATCCTCCGCTGGCACCCTGCTCCTGACACTTCCCCCCTGGGGCTCCCCTGGCCCTGACCACCGGCGCCCCCTTCTGGGAATCCTCTGATTCGCTGGAAAGACTCATGGAATCCCTTGAGTCATTGTCATCCTCTTCCTCGCTGGCTTGGAATTCCTCCCCCTCGCTCTCCATCTCCTGCCTACCCTGTGCCTCTCTCTCTGAACCCCTGACAGATGGATTTGTTTTTGAGTGTTTGTGGTGTATTTTTGTTTTTTGAATTTGTATTGTTTGATGTGGTTTGTTTTTTCTTTGTTTTTTTCTTTCTCTTTTTCTGCTTTGTTCTCTTTTGTAATTCTAAAAAAAATTCAATAAATATCATTTTAATATATATATATATATATATAATTTTCTGTTTAGCAGCCTATCAGCCCATGGATAGAAACTGTTTTTTAGCTTGTTGGTACGACTGATTATACTTCTATATCTCCTGCCAGAGGCTGGAAGATTAAAGAGGTGCTGGCCAGGGTGTGAATAGTCCCTGAGAATTTTTCTCACTCTCCTAAGGCAACGATTGCAAAGTCATCTGTCAGGCTCAGGTGACAGCCCATGATATCATGTGCTGTGTTCACCACCCTCTGTAAAGACTTTCTGTACGTGGCTGTATCACCACACTGTGATACAATATGAGAGGACACTTTTTATTGTAGACTGGTAGAAGGTCATCAATTGTTGTTTAACATTGTCCTTTTGCAGGACCCTGAGAAATGGAGTCTTTTTTGGGCCTTCCTAACCGCCTGTGTTATATTGTTTTTCCAAGTGAGGTCTTCACTAAGGTAAACTCCCAGGAATTTAAAGGAAGAGACTCTCTCCACACAACCCCTCCCCCCCCCCGATATACAACAGGGCTAGTTCCCCTCTCTTCCTCCAAAAGTCCAACACCATCTCCTTTGTCTTGCTAATATTTAGGTGCAAGTTATTCTCTAAGCACCATGGGGTATGTTATGCACTGAAGTTCTCACCCTGGGCCAGCAGGGGGATACTGTAGATAGTTATGCAAATAAGGGATCGAAAGTGATGTTCAGTGATTGGATAGTTTTAGAAAGTTGTTACAATTATGTGTACTGGAGTTCTATATAAGCAGGCTGACTGAACCCTTCAGCTCAGTTCTGTTCTGGCCTCTGAATAAAAAAGAGCTGTTTGAAGAATTGCTGTGTCCTCTGATATGTTCACCCACAACTTAACACTGGCGACGACGATGGGATCGATGGACATCAGAGTACAGCCAGATGCGGCCACCCTCTGAACTGAGCTGAATCACTGAGCGGAATCACTGAGCGAAATCACTGAACAGAACCAATTCAGAGCTGACTGTTCTAGCTAGAGCACTGTGTTCCATCCATCGCCCACCATGCCGGCATCGGAATCATGGCTTCACTTGTGCCTCTACCAGCCTCTGAATCATGGGACACCTACCTCGCTCGGTTCAACTGCTACCTCCAAGCCAACGAGCTGACAGAAGTATCACAGGAGCGGAAGCGGGGCCTATTCCTCAGCCTCTGTGGGCCTGAGGTGTTTGAGACAGCCCGAGCATTGCTTACACCTGAAGCAGTCCAAGCAGCACCGTGGGACACAATTCAAGAGAAGCTCCGCAATCACTACGCGCCAAAGCCGTCCAAGATTGCTGCCCGCCATGCGTTCTACCACCGGAACCTGGCAGAGGGGGAGCCAATTAACAACTACACTGCCGTCCTCTGACAGGCTGCAATGCACTGCGAGTTCCGAGACTTAGACGATGCCCTGATGGATCGAATCGTCTGCGGGGTCCAGGACATCCGTCTGCAACGGTGTCTCCTCGCCAAGCCAGACCTCACGCTGCAGAAAGCCATTGAGGAGGCCATGGCCTCGGAAGCTGCTGAACGCCCAGGAGATCCGCGAGGCCAGCAGCCCGCGTCTTGCTAGGAAGCCAGTTCCAGTGCATCACAAAGAGGCCAGCATTGATGAGGCATCCTCCAGTGAAGGCGATGATGTGCACCAGACAAAGCGGGAGCGCAGGAAGTTCCAACAGAAGTCCAAGGGCCAATCGGAATGTGCCGGCTGCAGAGGCAACCATTCCCGTGCCAAGTGTCGATTCAGAGACGCCATCTGTCGGAAGTGTTCCAGAAGGGCCACATCGCTAAGGTCTGCCGATTGGCTCCGTCCAGCACCCCCCCCTTCACTGACTCGCAAGTCTAAGTCTTCACTCCAGTCCGCCAAGGAAAGCTGTTTCGCTCTCACCAACTGCCACTGCCCGTCTGGAACCACAATTAGCCAAACCGACTCGCCTACGCGACGCAAACTGAACGTCACGGTGCTCATTGAAGGAGCTCCATGTGACATGGAGATCAACACCGGGTCTACCCTGTCCATCGTGTCTTGGAGCACCATCGAAAGACTGGTACCCAGAGTGTCTAAAAGGCAACTCGACTCTCACCGCGTACACCTGAGAGACTACCAGGGAAACGACATTCCCGTGGTAGGCGTTGGCCGGCTCCGGATCGCCTTCAAGGATTTTTCGGGCCTGCTCCGACTGGTGGTGGTCGAAGGTCAGCAGCCAAGCCTCCTAGGGCTAGACTGGTTTGATGCCCTCGGACTGGAAGTCACCGGCATCAACTGCATCTCTAACGCAGAGACTGAGGGTCTGGTCAAAGACTTTGCCAAGGTTATTGACGGCACTTTGGGGCAATATACAGGTACTTTAGCCTTGATCCACAAGTTGCCCCCATCAAGCTAAAGCCACGCCGGGTTCCCTTTGCTCTCAAGGCTAAGGTGGACGAACAACTGGACAAGCTGATAGCCCAAGGAGTTTTGGAGCTGGTTGACCACGCCAAGTGGGAAACCCCCATCGTCACGCCTGTCAAGCCAGACGGGTCGGTGAGAATCTGCGCCGACTACAAGTGTACGATCAACAAGGCACTTCAGCAGCACGTTTACCCGGTTCCTGTTGTTCAATACCTGCTGCATTCCCTGGGTGAGGGTAAGGTCTTCGCTAAGCTGGACCTTGCCCAAGCCTATCAATAACTGCCCGTCGATGATGCCACCGCTGAAGCCCAGACGATCGTCACCCACCGAGGGGCATTCCATTGCCGCCGTTTGCAGTTTGGAGTGAGTGTGGCTCCTGGCATCTTCCAAAGCCTTATGGAGCATTTCCTGCAAGGGCTTCCAGGCGTGGTACCGTATTTTGACCATGTCTTGGTATCCACAGACTCACACCAGCAGCTGTTCGAGCACCTCCGCACCGTGCTGACCAGGTTCCAGGAGGCCGGGCTCACGGTAAAGAGGGAGAAGTGCCAGATCGCCGTTCCACAGGTGGACTTCCTGGGCTATCTTATCAACGCCTCCGGCCTTCACCCGACCACATCCAAGATCTGCGCTATCCAGCAGGCCAGGCCCCCATCCCAAAGAACAAGACGGAGTTGCAGGCGTTCCTGGGACTACTGAACTTTTATAACATGTTCCTGCCCCACAAAGCCACGGTGGCTGAGCCTCTTCATCGACTCCTCAGCACGAAGACGCCTTGGTCCTGGGGTCATCGGGAGACGGTGGCCTTCAACGTGGTCAAGGCTCTCCTTTCATCGGTCAGAGTGCTGGTACAGTACAGTGAAGCCAGGCTGCTGGTCCTTGCCTGCGACGCCTCACCTTTTGGCATCGGCGCTAACACCGTTTTCCAGACGGAAGAGAAGCACCGTTTGCCTACTTTTCCAGGACGCTATCTCCGACTGAACGGAATTACAGCCAGCTCAACAAGGAGGCACTGGCACTTGTGGCTGGAGTGAAGAGATTCCATGAATACCTCTACGGCAGGACTTTCGACCTCATCACCGACCACAAGCCGCTCCTGGGCCTCCTCGCCAGTGATCGACCAACTCCACCGGTCCTCTCGCCGCGCATGCTGCGATGGACTGTTTTCCTGGCTGCCTACCACTACCGGCTCGTCCATTGCCCGGGGAAATCGATGGGCCATGCCGACGCCCTCAGCCGTTGCCCTCTTCCAGCGTTTGTGGAAGACCCGGCTCCTGCTTCATCGCTCCTCCTCATTGAGGATCTTCCGGCAGTGCCTGTATCAGCTGCCACTGTGGCCTCTGCATCTGCCCAGGATCGCACCATCAGCTGTGTGCTCAACTGGGTGTGGTGGGGGTGGCCACAAGGGCCTTTTGCATCGGAGTTCCAGCCCTTCGCAACCAGACAACATGAACTCTCGGCTCATCGCGGCTGTCTGCTGTGGGGAGACCGCGTCGTGATTCCCCAAAGACTCCGTCAAACATCTTTGAAACTCTGCACGTTGGCCACCCGGGAATCATCAAAATGAAGGCGTTGGCTCTGTGTTACGTCTGGTGGCCTAACATGGACGATGCCATCACTGCCTGGGTTTCCGCCTGTCAAGCATGCCAAGAATCTAGGCCTGCGCCACCGGCAGCTAAGGGACACACCTGGGAGACGCCCAAGACACCCTGGTCGAGGGTACACATCGATCTGGCCGGCCCCTTTCGCGGCCGGACCTTTATGGTAGTAGTGGACGCTTATTCCAAATGGCCGGAAGTGGCCCTGATGCCCTCCACCACTACCTAGGCAGTCATCCGGGTGCTGCGAGGCCTCTTTGCGACGCATGGGTGTCCTGATGTCCTTGTCTCCGACAACAGACCGCAGTTCGCCTCAGGCACTTTTGAGCGATACCTTTTGGGACTAGGCATCCGCCATGCCCTAACGGCACCATTTCATCCATCCAGCAACGGGCAAGCGGAGAGAATGGTGCGCTCGGCAAAAGAGGCACTGGCGCGCCTGGACCAGGGAGACTGGCACGAGCGGGTTGCTGAATACTTGTTCATACAACACATCACCCCTCAAGCGACCCCAGGGCAGAGTCCTGCTGAACTGCTTATGGGCTGCCGCCTCGGGTCTCCACTCGACCGGCTGCACCCGGACTTTGCCGTGGCCGAACCCCCAGGCTGTGCCAACATGCCACAGTCATTTGTTCCAGGAAACCAGGTCTTTGCCTGGAATTTTGTGGGGGGCATTCCTTGGGTGCCAGCCACAGTAGTGGGAGTCACTGGACCTTGCTCATACCAGGTGGCACTCGAAGACAGACGTTTGTGGCACCGGCACATAGACCAGCTTAGGCGCAGGGTTGGGGACTTGGACACTACCGCAGTGCCCCCAACTGCGCTCTTGGCTCCGGAACAGACACTTACAGATGGTGAGGCTCCACCTACACCTCTCTCACAAACTGCAGGCGTGGAGCCGAACCAAGCCGCTTCAGAGGGTCTGCCAGACTTCCCACAAACTCAGACCACTGCCGTGCCTGACATTCCACCAACTCCACTTGCGGAGGTTCCACCCAGAGCAGCGGATCCAGGGGACTTGGTTTCAACGCCACCTAGGGTCGCGCCACAGCCTCAGCAAGAATCAGGCAGCCCACCGGACCTGGGTACCACTCCCCGGCAGTCTGGCAGAGTTTCCAAGCGCCCAACTTATTTAAAGGACTATGTTGTTGGACATGTAATACTGTTGGTCTAATGGAAGTATGTGAAATGTAACCGATATGCTTTTGTGCCTAACTGAACCATTACGTGTAGTGCTGTATATAAGGAAACCATTACAATTGTAACTAACGCCTTATCTCGGTGGGGAGGGGTGTTATGTACTGAAGTTCTCACCCTGGGCCAGCAGGGGGATACTGTAGATAGTTATGCAAATGAAGGATCGAAAGTGACGTTCAGTGATTGGATAGTTTTAGAAAGTTGTCACAATTATGTGTACTGGAGCTCTATATAAGCAGGCTGACTGAACCCTTCAGCTCAGTTCTGTTCTGGCCTCTGAATAAACAAGAGCTGTTTGAAGAATTACTGTGTCGTCTGATATGTTCACCCACAACTTAACAGGGTAGATCAGGCAACCTAACGTCCGAGGGCCGGATGCGACCCAATCACCTTCTCAATCCGGCCCGCGGACGGTTGGGGAATCAGCGTGTTTTTACATGAGTAGAATGTGTCCTTTTATTTAAAATGCATCCCTGGGTTGTTTGTGGGGCCTGCCTGGTGTTTTTACATGAGTAGAATGTGTGCTTTATTTAAAATGCATCTCTGGATTATTTGTGAGGCATAGGAAATTGTTTTTGTTTTTTTCAAAATATAGTCCAGCCCACCACATGGTCTGAGGGACGGTGGACCAGACCACGGCTGAAAAAGGTTGCTGACCCGGATGTAGATACTTTTTGAACCTCCCCCCGTACACTGATTCATCTCCACCTGTAATTAGACCCATTACGGTAGTATCATCTGCAAACTTAATAATTACAGTGGGTGGATCAGATGAAATACAGTCATATGTATACAACAAGTAGAGGTAGGGACTTGGCACACGTCCCTGTGGGGTGCCAGTGCTGAGCTTCAGGGAGGTAGATGCAACAGGCCCAATCCTCACTGTTTGTGTCCGATCCCTCAATCAGTCTTTAATCCAGTCACAGATGGTAGAAGAAAGGTCTAGTTCCATCAGCTTTTTGATAAGAATGTCTGGAAGGATGGTATTAATAGCCAAGCTTTAATCAATAAACAACATTCTAACATGAAATTCTAACATAATTCCCCAGTCTCTCCAGATGACTCGCTGCAAGGGGAAAGGCTTCATCTGTTGACCTATTTCTCCTATAGGCGAACTGATGTTTATCAAAATCCAGTGGAAGGCATGTCCTAAGGTGTTGAAGGACCAATCTCTCAAAGCATTTCATCACTACAGATGTTAATGCAATAGGTCTGTAGTCATTTAGGCAGTTAGTTGCTGTTTTCTTTGGGACTGGGACAATGGTGGCTGCTTTCAAACATGATGGAACACAAGCCGTTTGCAGAGAGATGTTAAAAATCCTTGTCAGGACCCCTGCTAGCTGATTGGCACAATTTTTTACCACTATCCCCAGCACCCCATCTGGTCCAGCAGCTTTACTGGGATTCACCGCCCTCAATGCAGCTTTCACTTGATGGTCATATAGAATAAGTGGCTGAGAGTTTGTAGGCTGGCGGCAGGAGCTATGATACCTGATCTTTTTACCTCATAGTGGGCGAAGAATATGTTCAGCTCCTCTGCCAACAAATCATCGGCCTTAACCGTGTTCCTCATATTGCCCTTATAGTTGGTTAGATGCTGCAGTCCCTGCCACACTTGTTTCGTGTTGTTAATGGCTAGGCAATTCTCCACCTTAAGCTTATATTGTTGTTTTGCCGCCTTAATGCCTTTCCTGAGCTTTGTTCTTGCCCCTCTGTATATATCTATGTTCCCTTGCCTTGAAGGCAGTATCCCGAGCTTTCAGTATCCCAACCTTACTTCAGGTTTGCAGTTCCCATAGACTCTAATGCACCTCTCCATTGTTACATTATCAGTGCACACTTTAACGTAAGAAAGTACAGCGTCTGTGTATCTGTGCAGATTTTGATGTTCAAACACGCTCCAATCAGTACTTTCAAAACAATCCTGGAGCTGACTGAAAGCGCCCTCTGGCCAGATTCTAACTGTTTTTTATAACTGGCTGAATTCTTCTCCTAAGAGGGATATACTTTGGACATAAAAAAGTGAAGAATGGTCAGATGAACCTATGTGGGGGAGGGAAATTGCCCTGTATGCCTGCTTCAGATTGGAATACACACAGTCCAAAATATTCTTCCCTCTAGTGGCAAAATTCACATACTGTTCAAACTTAGGAAAAACTGTCTTCAGGCAGGCCTGATTGAAATCCCCTGCCACAACAAGGACGCCCTCTGGATGGATTTGCTGCTGCCTAGGTATGACAACAACAACAAAGGTATAACGTCATATAGTTTAGAAAATGCTGCTCTGACATTAGCATCAGGTGGAATGTAAGCGGCTATGATAATTATCACAGTTACTTCTCTAGGCAGATTTAATGGCCTACATGATGTTGTTGTTGTTGTTGTTGTTGTTTAGTCGTTTAGTTGTGTCCGACTCTTCGTGGCCCCCTGGACCAGAGCACGCCAGGCACTTCTGTCTTCCACTGCCTCCCGCAGTTTAGTCAAACTCATGCTGGTAGCTTCGACAACACTGTCCAACCATCTCGTCCTCTGTCGTCCCCTTCTCGTTGTGCCCTCCATCTTTCCCAACAACAGGGTCTTTTCCAGGGAGTCTTCTCTTCTCATGAGGTGGCCAAAGTATTGGAGTCTCAGCTTCAGGATCTGTCCTTCCAGTGAACACTCAGGGCTGATTTCCTTAAGAATGGATAGGTTTGATCTTCTTGCAGTCCATGGGACTCTCAAGAGTCTCCTCCAGCACCATAATTCAAAAGCATCAATTCTTCGGCGATCAGCCTTCTTTATGGTCCAGCTCTCACTTCCATACATCACTACTGGGAAAACCATAGCTTTAACTGTACGGACCTTTGTTGACAAGGTGATGTCTCTGCTTTTTAAGATGCTGTCTAGGTTTGTCATTGCTTTTCTCCCAAAAAGCAGGCGTCTTTTAATTTTGTGGCTGCTGTCACCATCTGCAGTGATCATGGAGCCCAAGAAAGTAAAACCTCTCACTGCCTCCATTTCTTCCCCTTCTATTTGCCAGGAGATGATGGGACCAGTGGCCATGATCTTCGTTTTTTTGATGTTGAGCTTCAAACCATATTTTGCACTCTCCTCTTTCACCCTCATTAAAAGGTTCTTTAATTCCTCCTCAATTTCTGCCATCAAGGTTGTGTCATCTGCATATCTGAGGTTGTTGATATTTCTTCCGGCAATCTTAATTCCGGCTAGGGGTTCATCCAGCCCAGCGTTTCGCATGATGAATTCTGCATATAAGTAAAATAAGCAGGGAGACAATATACAGCCTTGTCGTACTCCTTTCCCAATTTTGAACCAATCAGTTGTTCCATATCCAGTTCTAACTGTAGCTTCTTGTCCCACATAGAGATTCCTCAGGAGATAGATGAGGTGATCAGGCACTCCCATTTCTTTAAGAACTTGCCATAGTTTGCTGTGGTCAACGCAGTCAAAGGCTTTTGCATAGTCAATGAAGCAGAAGTAGATGTCTTTCTGGAACGCTCTAGCTTTCTCCATAATACAGCGTATGTTTGCAATTTGGTCTCTGGTTCCTCTGCCTCTTCTAAATCCAGCTTGCACTTCTGGGAGTTCTCGGTCCACATACTGCTTGAGCCTACCTTGTAGAATTTTAAGCATAACCTTGCTAGGGTGTGAAATGAGTGCAGTTGTGTGGTAGTTGGAGCATTCTTTGGCACTGCCCTTCTTTGGGATTGGGATGTAGACTGATCTTCTCCAATCCTCTGCCCACTGCTGAGTTTTCCAAACTTGCTGGCATATTGAGTGTAGCACCTTAACAGCATCATCTTTTAAAATTTTAAATAGTTCAGCTGGAATACCACTGGCCTTGTTATTTGCAGTGCTTTCTACGGCCCATTTGACTTCACTCTCCAGGATATCTGGCTCAAGGTCAGCAACCACACTACCTGGGGTATACGAGCCATCCATATCTTTCTGGTATAATTCCTCTGTGTATTCTTGCCACCTCTTCTTGATGTCTTCTGCTTCTGTTAGGTCCTTACCACTTTTGTCCTTTATTATGGTAATCTTTGTACGAAATGTTCCTTTCATATCTCCAATTTTCTTGAACAGATCTCTGGTTCTTCCCATTCTGTTGTTTTCCTCTATTTCTTTGCATTGCTCGTTTAAGAAGGCCTTCTTGTCTCTCCTTGCTATTTTCTGGAAATCTGCATTCAATTTCCTATATCTTTCACTATCTCCCTAGCATTTTGCTTGCCTTCTCTCCCCCGCTATTTGTAAGACCTCGTTGGACAGCCACTTTGCTTTCTTGCATTTCCTTTTCATTGGGATGGTTTTCGTTGCTGCCTCCTGTATAATGTTACAAGCCTCCATCCATAGTTCTTCAGGCACCAAATCTAAATCCTTAAACCTGTTCCTCACTTCCACTGTGTATTCATAAGGGATTTGATTTAGATTGTATCTTACCGGGCCAGTGGTTTTTCCTACTTTCTTCAGTTTAAGCCTGAATTTTTCTATAAGAAGCTGATGATCTGAGCCACAGTCAGCTCCAGGTCTTGTTTTTGCTGACTGTATAGAGTTTCACCATCTTTGGCTACAGAGAATATAATCAATCTGATTTCGATGCTGCCCATCTGGTGATGTCCATGTGTAGAGTCGTCTCTTGTCTTGTTGGAAAAGATTGTTTGTGATGACCAGCTTGTTCTCTTGACAGAACTCTATTAGCCTTTGCCCTGCTTCGTTTTGATCTCCAAGGCCAAACTTGCCAGTTGTTCCTTTTATCTCTTGATTCCCTACTTTAGCATTCCAATCCCCTATGATGAAAAGAACATCCTTCGACTTCCGGGGTGGCGCCATCGGTAATGGTGGACTCCCTCTGAACTGGAGGGACTAGCTCCGCATGAAACGGGTCTTTTCCGCTACGGCGAAGCGGGGACCCTTCTGGAAATCACAGGCGGATGAAGCCTGTGACCGTGGGACTCGGCGGGCACCCTTAGCGCCCCCCAACCCGCAAAGGAACCCACTAATGGGCTCCGAAGCGAAGAGGGGGAAGTGGCGCGGTGCTGTGAGTCAATTGCTTTTTCTGCGGAGCGAAGCCACATAGCCGTTGCCGGAGAGCGCTGCCTTTTCCTGGGACAATTTGGCATCTAAAATAACCACCCGTGAGTACTGGAACATTGAACATTTGGACTTTAAATAAGAACTGGCGAAATAGAAAGGAATTTGGACTTAAAAATTTACCTTAATTTGGTACTGAAACGGTAAGGTCTAAACAGGAAGTCAGCCTTCCGTTTCCTTGTAGCCAGAATAAAGCAAAGACAACATAAACTAGAGCTTTAAAAATCACTTTCAAAGGATTGGTTTTCATCATTTAAAATCGCTGAACCCCCCTTCGGTAGCAGGAGAAGAAGGGGGATCTTTTTTGGGCTGTTTAAACCTGCAGAAGTGAGTTTAAAGCAAAGTAATTTTCCACCGTCCTGATCCTGGAGCGGGGTGTCAGAATTGACGTTTGAAGCTCATTGACCAGAAACAAATGTCTTTGACAGATAGTTAAAAGAAGAGAAACATAGTGATTCCATTGTTTCCTTTCGCATTTTAAAAAGAACAAATATGGACAAAATACCTTAAAAAAGAAACTTTGTTGCTATTGTTTTTAAAAGAAAGAACAATCAGAAGATTTCCCCCTAGAGGGGGACTGTGAAATTGTAACTAATCCCTGGGAGCTTGCAGCTGCCACAGATTACAACCGTGGCAAAGGATTTGTGACCTTGCAGGACAATGTCTTCAGAAGCACTGCTGGGTGCTCTCTGCAAAATAAATGCCCTATTGGATCAGTTAAGCCAGAAGACGGATTTGATGACTAATGCGGCCAGAACCTTTGAACAGGTAGTGGGAAATTATATGGAGCCCTCCCAGGAGCTAAAACAGGAGTGTGCCATGACAGAACAGTGAGAGAAGAGGATGCTGCTGAATCTTGGGCGCCAGAGACGGAGGGAGCTGCGGCCCAGCAGGAACATAAATTTTTGGATTTGACAAATGAACTTGGAAAAAACCAGACTTGGAAAGATAAAGTTTGGTTTGGTTTGGAAATGGGGGGTTGGACAGACCCCCCTATACAGGGAAATTTGGACTTTTCGAGTCTGGCAATGGACCGTCAGATGTTTGGAGCTGTGGGGGCTCTCAATTTTGGAGGGAATCTGAAACTTGTTTTTAAATACCACATGGAGTCTAGTCTGGACTATGGAAAAGGGGCTGATTTGTTGAAAAGGGTCAAAAACATTACCAAGCTGGAGTTCCCACGAATGAAAGGAAAATATGAAGAAGAGCTGCGGAAGCGACATGGAAGAGACTTGAGGGCTTGGATATAAGATTACCAGGTTAATGTGCTAGACTAATAAGATAAAAAGGACTGACAAAACCCGGGACCAGGAGGAAGGGACGCTGGATGAAGATTGGATTGTTTATTTCTTTTTTTTTATCATTAGGATTGTTCTATAAAATTGATGAATGCTAGAAAAATGTTGAAATGAAATTACTTGGCTCTTGTAAAAATGTCTAAAGAATTTGTTAAGAATGTTATGGCTAGGAGAAGTTGGTAAAAATAAGATTTAAGTTTTAAACTTTAAGGTGTTTTTTTTATAAGATAAGATGAAAATACATTAAGGTAATGTAATGACAGAATACTATGAATTATGGAAAGGATTTGCTGTGATTATTATTAATCAGGATACAAGAAAAGGGAGGAGGAGGACGAGGTCAAAGAAAGAAGGTACTGAAAGTGGAGAATTTGAGAGTGATGGTTTTATTTTTTTTATTTTTTTCTGTCTTGTCTTTTGTGTGTATGTAATTTAAAAAAAAAAATTCCAATAAATATCATTTAAAAAAGAAAAGAAAAGAAAAGAACATCCTTCTTTGGTGTCACTTCTATAAGGTGTTGTAAGTCTTCACAGAATTGGTCAATTTCAGTTTCTTCAGCTCCAGTAGTTGGTGCATAAACTTGGATTACTGTGATGTTAAATGGTCTGCCTTGGATTCGTATCAAGATCATTCTATCATTTTTGAGATTGCATCCCAGTACAGCTCTCGCCACTCTTTTGTTAACTATGAGGGCCACTCCATTTCTTTTATGGGATTCTTGCCCATACTGTAGTAGATATGATGGTCATCCGAACTGAATTCGCCCATTCCATTTTAGTTCACTGATGCCCAGGATGTCAATATTTATTCTTGCCATCTCATTTTTGACCACATCTGTCAAAGCTGCCTCAAGTCTCAGCTCACAAAAGACCAACGCCTATGTCTTCTTATATACAAAGGTGTTTATTGCAGTTCATTGTTTGCTTGACATCCTAGGCGCGCAGCCTTACGTCTCTTACGCTTAGACCGCTGAAGTCCCCTCTGAATCCGGTCCCTCCCCTGCACCAATTTAAGAGGCTTGCGCTGCTCCACCTCTTTCTCTCCTTCCTTTCCGCAGGGTCCTTCTGCCCGCTGGGGTTTCGCCCCTCCTGGATTCCTCTGACGCGGAATCAGACTGCTCTTCCCCCCTCCTGCGGGCTTTGGGACCTGGCCCCTCCTCCGGGCTCCCTGTACTTCCCCGCGCCTCTACATTTGAACTAGGCGCGCGCGCCAAACCTCTAACTTTCCTTTTGACAGTTACACTACTCCCTTCACTGCTCCCCTCCCCTTCCGGGAGGGCGGCTTGCTCTGACCGCCCTCCTTTCTCTGCTGCCGGAGCTGCTTCCTCTGACACACTGGAAGCTCCACCCCTTTCGCTGCACTCTGGTGGGGAGGCTGGTCCTGACGCCCAGCTGCCACTTTGGGATCCTCCGCTGGCCCCCTGCTCCTGACACCTCCCCCCTGGGGCTCCCCTGGCCTTGACCACCGGCGCCCCCTTCTGGGAATCCTCTGATTCGCTGGAAAGACTCATGGAATCTCTTGAGTCATTGTCATCCTCTTCCTCGCTGGCTTGGAATTCATCCCCATCGCTCTCCATCTCCTGCCTACCCTGTGCCTCTCTCCCTGAACCCCTGACAACATCCAACTTACCAAGGTTCATGGTTCTTACATTCCAGGTTCCTATGCAATATTTTTCTTTACAGCATTGGACTTTCCTTTCGCTTCCAGGCATATCCGCAACTGAGCAACCTTTCGGCTTTGGCTCAGCTGCTTCATCAGCTCTGAATCTACTTGTACTTGTCCTCCGCTCTTCCCCGGTAGCATGTTGGACGCCTTCCGACCTGAGGGGCTCATCTTCCAGCGTCATAACTTTTATATGTCTGTTGTCTTTGTCCATTGAGTTTTCTTGGCAGGGATACTGGAGTGGCTTGCCGGTTCCTCCTCCAGGTGGATCACGTTTGGTCAAAACTCTCCACTATGACCTGTCCATCTTGGGTGCCCTGCTCGACATAGTTCATAGCTTCTCTGAGTTATTCAAGCCCCTTTGCCACAGCAAGGCAGTGATCCATGAAGGGGGGCCTACATGTAACTACCATCAATTCCACATCTGGGGAGCAGTACGTATAAGCTACTCTGCTGTTAATACACCAACCACTGTGTATATAAATTCAGATTCCTCCTCCCCTAGCCTTACCAAAATTACTGTTTCTATCAGAGCGATAAATTACTTGGTTTGTCAGCTCCACTGCCGCATCTGGTATTGCTGAAAGTTTCCATAATAGGTTTCCGTAATAATTGCAAAACAGCTCTCACAAAGAGGCTTACTTACTGCCATCTGTAACTCTAGTTTGTCAAATTTATGGACAAGAGATCTGATGTTAGTCAGGAAGACACTTGGCAGTGCTGATCTAGTGGGTTGTTTTCAAAGCCGAGTCAACAAACCAGCTCTGCACCCTCGCCTTTATTTTCGCTCCTTTCTCTTTCGCTTCTCTTGGCACTTCCCCCTCCCAATGACAATCCATGGAGAACCTGGAGATCTCGCTATGCAATTTGGTATACTGTGGGACTGCTGAAACCCTCTCGTTATCTCTAATTTCCTTGCAAGCCTGATGTTTACCAGTTCTATGCGTGAGTAGGTGAAGTCCGCTCCTCGCACCACATTGTGCAAACACATCCATACACATATTATTCCAAACAGCACACACCCTTATCGGGGGCTCAAAGCCGCAGAGTGTGAACGTGCCACCATCTTGTGCATACGGACATTCAGGATGTACCATGTACCATGAACTGCATAGTTACTATTTCATTGTTCTAGTGTGGTTATTTTGGTTCCTTAAGGCTCAGGCAGTAGAGTGCTCTGCTCTGCTCTGCTCCTGGTTTACAACTCTGTTTCTGACCAAAATCTGTAAATAATGCATAATGATGTCTATTTTTGCCTTAATAGAAGCTGGAGACTATAGTAGGGTAGGATTTCTTATCTTATATTGGGGGTGGATCTACACACAGGAAAAAGCCCCACTATAAATCAGTCTGAATAAGTCAGCTCCCCCAATATTTTTGGGCAGGGGGCAGCACCCCCTCCAATATTGAGGGGGCTATTACTTCCTGCCACTGCCAGGTGCCCTCTGCACACCCCAGCCTCCGGCCAGCAGCCTAGGAGCCAGAAGGTGACTGGGACAAGTGCAGAGGGCAATCTCTGCACTTGCTCCTCCCAGCCGTAGCCTGGGAGCCCAGGAGCGGAACTGCAGCTGGGACGAGTGAAGCAAAGATAGCCCCCACCCAGCGCACACCAGGCGGCATCACATGACCAAGCCCCCAATGTTGGGGGCAAGTCGGCACCCCTGCCTGGGATTCAAGTCACTGTTTTGCCCTATTTAGGCATTAAAAGCAACAGGATCAGGCCCCTTATTTTATAGTATGATTTTTGTCACTGTTGAGTGACATTTGATTCAGCATATGCAACAATCCAGATCATTCTTTGTGAATGTGTCTATGTGCAAGAGCAAAGCAAAGGCCAACCTTGCCATTCCAGCTCTATGCAAGAAGACCTGTTTATGGGAATGGCACCAATCCTTCCCATCATTGTGGCCGCTTCATATTAAATCTGTATAGGATGAAATGTGAAAGCCCTCATTTGTGAAGTATGGTTGGCTTTTTCCTTTTTCTTTGCATACGGAGATACATGTCAAATTCCCAGTCACAGCACTCATAGAAAAAATAAAGAGCACTTCATACCAGACTTCACACATGCTACCTCTCCAGGTAGGGGGGAAATTGTGTTTCTAAAGCAGCTCTTGCAAACATTTCGAGTTTGTATGTAAAAGCTTCAAGCTTGCCACCCTGAAATATAATCAGTTTGCCATCTTTCTTTAATTCAGCACATAATCAAAAAAGCCCAGTGAAGGCACCAGAAATCAATACTTTGAAAGTTTCCTTTATAAAAGAGACATCAGGAACAAGAGCAAACAGAAACATGCAGATTAGACCTCTTACCTGCTAATCCAATTGTCAGTAGACCGTTAACTAGAAAGAAAAAGAGTAGCTATTAGAGATCCATTATTCCAAAATTATCAGAAGTACACTATAGTATTAGTAAATAGTATATAAACAAGATTATATAGTATATAAACATATATAAACATATGAATTTATATTATATATATATTATTATTAAATATAGTATATAAACAAAATTAATCATAAACAATTAGATAGAAATGAAGCTGGTGGCATTACATGCTATTGATTTCAATAGAAACTCATTATTAGTTTGTCTCCTTGATTTCAGTGCAAACTTATGTAAAGGATATATGTTCAATGTATATAAAATATTATGTGGTGGTTTGCATTTGCAGAGTGTCTGCTTTTTTCAGAGAACTGTAGCAAGTGCAAACGGTACTTGTGCAGCTAAAGCTGCAAAATGTTTACCTAATGAACTTGCTTATCCAAATGGCTCTCTGGGACCAGAGGGAGAATAGTACTTGGACTCTGCACGTGGTCCCACTACCCTAACACAACGCGTTCCTTGGAAATTGTTCATTAGTCGAGCATTCACACAAAGAGTCAACTATTTCTATGATTCCTACGGGAACATTTCTAATCCATGATTTGTCCAATCTCTCTCCTGCCTCCCTCCATGGTTTCTTCCTGAAATAGCTGCAGCCAACCAGCAAAAGAGATAAAGGAAAAGCTGATTTGTCGGATCTCTCTCCCAGCCCTACATGGTTTCTGCCCTAATATGGCTGCTGCAAACCAGCAAAGCTCAAGTAAGCAAGCAAGCAAGCAAGGAAGTGGGCAAACTGGCTGTTTGGATATCTGATTGTGCAAAGTGTATAGTGAGGTCGGGGCATGATTCTTTATCTTTGGATTAGTGAATTTTCACATAGTGAGCAAGCAAATTGAAGGACTTGCATGAATTAACAAGCAAGAACCTAAAAAAAGCTGAACTGCATTCCTAGTTGTTTAACAGTAATGTGTTGATTTGAATTTACAACTGTTTTTGCTAACAAGTCTAAAGACAGTTTACTCTGGAACTCTTTCTTGGTGTAGAGATCTCCTTGATTCTGACTCTGAACAAGGTCCCCAACTCATTAGGCCCCCTTCAGACATTGGGTACCACATGCGCAGCAGCCTTGGGGCAGTGGGGCAGAGGGTCAGCCAAATCCCACCAATGGTGCCATCATCCACCATGGAGAGCCAAGAATGCTGCCAGCTTGGAGCTCCCCACACCCAAGTGCTCAGGAAAATCTGTCAAAATCTTTCTACAATTTCTACTTTTAGTTAAGTATTTTTATTTACTTACTTAATTGGGGGGGAGCTCTCCCCCAGCCCTGCCCTGGCTACACCCATACCCAGGCCTGAGTATGCTCCTTTTAAGACTTCCCTCTGCAGCAAGGTGGGTGGTGAAATATACTACTTTTGGGTGCTCCTGTTGGCCAATCAGGTTGTTGCATTCTAGGATCCTACCAGCCTATTTTTCTAGGATTCAAGCTCAGTACATAACAGAGGGGAAGTCAGATGAGGAAGGATTTAAGATTTAAGCTGGTGCTGAGACTCTTGCAATACTCTCCCTCCAGGGACCTGACAGTCCTGTATCTAGTCAGCATTTTCCTCCACAACTGGACCTGCTTGTGCCCAGACACCATCCACCCTGTCCCTCTGGGAATCTCAAGCATTACTCAGAATCTGCTTGCCTGGAGGATTCCCAGCTGTTTCCATGCTTAATGGTGTACCACAAACACACACGTGGCTCCCTCTATGCTCTTGCTGCAATGTAGGTGGGAGCAATAAACAATGATTCCTGGCCTAACATTATATCCAAAAACATTTCAGTGATTTGTTTTGTTCCTAACAAGCCACAAGGTAAAGCCAATGTTTGTTCTTGACTTCCCAACTGCAGTTTGCTTGAGTGAAATAAATTATGAGTTCCCAGCTCTGATGTAATATAAAGCCAAATATTTACTGTTGTGTGTGAATGGGACCAATAAGTTATCTGAAACTTTATTTTTAAAAAACATCTTGCCCTCACCTCACCCTCTCCGCCTTCAAATAAGATATGAAAAATATAAATTTAGGAAGCTGTTGTCTGCCTAGCTCAGTATGGGGGCAGTGAGGGGCAGCATCTCTCCAGCACTGCAGGCGACCATTTTCCCCAGCCCTGCTTGGAGATGTCCAGGGTGGATCCAAAGGTTCCTCAGCATGCGAAGCAGAGGCTCTTCCAAGGAGCTACAGCCCCTCCCGCTTCCCATAAGGAAAGGGCACTTCTGCCTGCCAGAAATATTTAGTTGTAACTGTATAACAAAAGCCATAGAACTTGTAATTTGATTTGGCATGATGCGTTCAGGTCTCTAGGAAACACTTTCCCCTGGTTGGGTGGTAGCAAAGTAGTACAGCAAGAGCCTGAAGGGAAACGTTTTTTGGATCTGCTTAATAAAATCAGATAATAATCAGCATCAAGACCTTCAGATCTGTTAGAAATATTCCACTTGGAGCTTGTGACACCATAACGAGTCCCGGAGTTGACCAGAATGTTAAAAAAGGGAAAGCAAAGTTATTTCCTCAGCCCTAGGTATGATTTTCCAAAGCAGTTCTGTCCAAATATTCCAATGTAAATTGATTCCATTAAATTCAACTGAATTAAGTATCGCTAAAGATTAAAATGTAGTAACATGTGCTGGAAATTTCAGTAGCAATCTACTTGCTAAATGATCATAATAAAGTTCAAGCTTCTTAATTAAAGTGCTAATTTTAACAATAGCAATTTGAATTTACGTGCCAGATGTCTGTTTAATTGACACTGCTGCACGAGAGCATTTAACATCCCCCCTAGATATGTATGGAAACTGAAGCAGATGCTCCTTACAGAAAGCTGAAGCCAAAGGAGTAGCACAATTTTAAGCAAGTAGGGGAAGCCCACAGCTGACAGGCAGCACACTTAGGGAGACAAATCCGAGGTGTGGATGAGCCTCTTAAATAGGTTGACAGCTTCCTTTGAGCAGCTAGCCCCAATTCTGATGAGTCCAATTCTTAAGGCGATCCAGCCTGTTTCAGAGCCACTGGCCCAGTGGAGCAGAGGAAGTGGAAGTCCATGAACTTCATCTGACTGCACAAGGGCTGCCATCATGGGCTCCTCTGGTGCTGGGATTCCTGAGGAGGCAGGCATGTCAAACTGGCTCAAAGGGCACATTCTGCTTCAAGTCTGACATATCTTCTGAATCCATGACCTGAGCACAAGGAGTCAGAGCCCTAGACATGACCCAGGGATGATAGGAGTTGTAGTCCAACAATATGAGGAGGGCCACACAGGTTAACCACACCACCTCTAAATCTTGGCAGTCAGGAGCAGGGGATCCTATGCACACAGCTTGGCTTGATGTGGAAAACTAAACTGAGGTAAAAAGTAAAAGGTATAGGACCCCGTACAGGTATGTCTAGTCAACGGCAATTATGGGGTGTGGTGCTCATCTCGCTTTTCAGACCAAGGGAGCTGGCGTTTGTCCACAGACAGCTTTCTGGATCATGTGGCCAGCAGGTCTAAACCACCACTGGAGCACAGAGGACCGTGACAAAAGCCAGAGCGCACGGAAACACCATTTACCTTCCCACTGCAATGGTACTTACCGTATTTTTTGCTCTATAAGACTCACTTTTTCCCTCCTAAAAAGTAAGGGGAAATGTGTGTGCGTCTTATGGAGCGAATTCAGGCTGCGCAGCTATCCCAGAAGCCAGAACAGCAAGAGGGATTGCTGCTTTCACTGCGCAGCGATCCCTCTTGCTGTTCTGGCTTCTGAGATTCAGAATATTTTTTTTCTTGTTTTCCTCCTCCAAAAACTAGGTGCGTCTTGTGGTCTGGTGCGTCTTATAGAGCGAAAAATACGGTATTTATCTACTTACACTGATGTGCTTTCGAACTGCTAGGTTGGCAGGAGCTGGGGGAAAACAACGGGAGCTCACCCCATCAAGCAGATTCAAACCACCAACCTTCTGATCAGCGAGCCCAAGAGGCTCAGTGATTTAGACCACAGCGCCACCCGCGTCCCCTTACACTTCTTATTCCCTGCAAGAGAATAATAAGATGTGGGGATTGGACAGCCAGAGAGAGGCTGGTGAATGGAGCAGGGCCAGGGAATGGGAGGTGGAAATGAGAATGCAAGATGAGGGCGGAAACAATGAGAAGATATTCTCAGGGGCGGAACCTGGGAGCATGTTTGTGTAAACCAACAGAGAAATCAAGTAAATAAAGGTTTGGGGACAGGACACATCTTGTTGGAGGCAGAGCTGATGGCCCTTCTCCCTTATGCATCTGATGTGCTCATGAGATCTCCATAGCCCTTCCTCCCCTACTGCCCCCTTTCCCACCATCAGGGAGGTGAAAAAGAAGGCCAGAACAACTTGTTACTCAGAAATGTTGCAGACTGAACCCAAATACACAATTTATCCTATTCAAAGTCAGGGGGAAGAAAAAATGGTGGATTGTCTGTCCCATGTGTGATTTGTCTTGATAGCAGGTAGTTCCAGCATAATATAGCATTTTATTCAATGCACTTCATCCATTACCTTGGTAATTTTTACAAGAACCCAGTGAACTAAATGTTCAGTATTATCCTCACTGTGTGCAGAGCAGGTGAGGGATGGGGCAGAGAGAACAATGGCTTGCCAAAGGCCCCCTAAGGTTTGCCATACGTCAGGAAAATTCCTGACATGTCCTGGTTTTCTGGTGTAAAAATGGTGTTGAGGGAATTTTGTTGAATTGCCAAAATGTCAGGGAAGCCCCGACAGAAAAAGCAGTGGAAACAATTTTGGCGGTTTCAAAAAAACAAAAAAAAAAGCCCTCAACTTTGTGGGTGTCAGGAATTTTACTATTTGAAATATGGCAACCCTACCTAAGGAGATCTCAGTAGGAGTGGGTCAACTTTTCCATTCACAATTTCAGCCACTGTATGACCTGGCATAGGTCTTTGAGGAACATGAAGGAAATTTAAAAAGAATGGCAGCTAGTGAGCCACATCACCAAGTGCCAGGGATTTGTGTATTAACAAATGGGTGTGTCACAAATGACTTGTACAGACACGCATGCCTTATCTTTGAAAAGTCATATATACAAAGTCACATATACTACAATACTTCAGGTAATATTTGCTACATGTGCAGAACCTTCAAGTGTCCCGATTTAATTGGGACACCCCGAATTTACAGAAGCTGCCCTGGCTTCTGATACCAATCCAGGATGCCCCAATTTTCCCAGAGGCCACTCCAGGCCACACCACTTCTCCTGACGCAACACGGCCTGGCACAAGCTTCCTGGAGGATGCTCTAGGCCAGGCAGCCTCTACCGAAGCCACATGGCCTGGCGTGATCTGCTGGAGGCCACTCTAGGTTGCGCAGCGTCTCATGGAGGCCACTTCAGGAGGATGAAGACAGCAAAGGTAAGAGGAGGGAGGTAGGGAGGGCAGGCGAGGAAGTGGTCAGTGAAGATAGGTGGTGGTGGGTTGCCCTGAATTTTTCTCACAAAAGGCTGGAGGGTATACATGCGTGCTGCAGACCTGGTTAGTCCTGGAAATGGAAGCACTAAAAATAAAGTTAAAATCAAAGTCCACATTTTTTTAAGAGGCACACAAACTGAAATAATTATGTCAACAAAACAAACACAATACAAAAGATACCCATTTCTGTCTAGTTTGGAAGGTTCTTTTTTGTTCCATTACTCATTGCCCACTTTAGGAGCAAAGTAGCCTGCAGTGGGAAAATAGGGAGAACAATCATAACATGATGTGAAAAGAACAGAGGAAATGAGCTAAGTGAAGTTAACAGGGGAAACAAAAGCACTGCACAAAGCAAGGATGCATGTTGTAAACGGAAGCCCTCACAAATCTACGGGAGTGAAAAAAATGACTGGCACCAATAAGAGTAGCTAATGTGGGGGGAAACAAAAAGATGGATTAACAGGACAAATTGGGGCTGGGAAGCAAGCCTAGGATGTACTTCCTTGTCCATTCTCTCAGAAATACAGCCCTGCCTGACTGTAAAAAAGCATTGCCGCTTGCCCACATTGGTTTGCCTGGATAACTTCCAATATCTGGATCTATTTTTCCTAAGTGAAGATGCCAACAGCATTCCCATTGGGCATCAAGCTTTCCAAGCTGACCGGGGGGGGGGGGGGAGCATGCACTCTCATCTTTAAGGAGGCTGATTTCAAAAATCTTAAAGAGCTACTGGGTGATATCCCATGGTCAGAAATACTGAAAGAGAATGTAGTCCAGGATAGATAGGAGTTTCTTAAATGTATAATATTGAAAGCATAAATGCAGACTATTCCAACAAAAAAGAAAAGTGAGGAGCACCCTTGAAAATTGCAGAAGAAGCTTACAGATGAGCTGAAACTTAAGAAAGGCATATATAAGAAACGGAAGAAAGGGGAAATCACAAAGGAGGAATATACACAAGTAGCCAACAGTTGCAGGGTAAAGGTCAGGCAGGCTAAAGCGCAGAATGAGCTCAGGCTTGCAAAAGAGGTTAAAACTAATAAAAAATGTTTCTTCAGCTATGTTTGAAGCAAGAGAAAGAAAAAGCAAGTACAGTCATACCTTGGTTGTCGAACGCCTTGGTACTCAGACGTTTTGGCTCCCGAACGCCGCAAACCCAGAAGTGAGTGTTCCTATTTGTGAATGTCTTTTGGAAGCCGAATGTCTGGTGTGGCTTCCGCGGCTTCCAACTGAGTTCAGGAAGCTCCTGCAGCCAATCAGAAGATGCACCTTCGTTTTCTAATGTTTTTGGAAGTCAAACGGACTTCCGGAATGGATTCCGTTCGAAAACCAAGGTACAGCTGTAGGAGATTCCTTTGAATGGAGAAGATGGAGAAATGCTATTGGGTGACAGAGAGAAGGCAGAGCTGCTCACCACCTACTTTTCACCTGTCTTCACCCAAAAGCGAAGCAGTGCTCAACCTGGTAAAAACAACATAAATGAAGCAAGGAGAGAGCTGCAGCTCAAGATAGGAAAAGGGGTGGCCTGAGAACACCAGGCTAGTTTAAATGAACTCAAATCTCCAGGGCAAATGATGTCCCCATCTTCAAAAGGGAAAAGCATTAACTACATCAATTCCAGGAAAGTTCCTAGAACAGATAAATAAAGTCTGTGAGCACTTAGAAAAGGATGCTGTGATTACTAAGATCCAACATGGGTTTCTCGAAAACAAGCCAAGCCAGGCGAATCTCTTTTTTCTTTTCAATGCAGTTACAAGCTTGGTGGATCAGCAGAATACTGTGGACTCAGTGTATCTTGATTTCAGTAAGGCTTCTGACAAACTCTTCCATGATATTTTTGTGAGGAAGCTGGTATGTGGTATGTGGGCTAAATGAGGTAACTGTAAGGTGGATTTGAAACTGGTTGGCTAACCAAACCCAAAGACTACATTAATGGTTCCTTATCATCCTGGAAAAAAGTGACAAGTGGGGTCCCTGGGCCTGTTGTTGTTCAATGTCTTTATAAATGACTTGGGTGAAGGAACTGAGGAGATGCTTGTCACATTTGCAGATGACACCAAACTGGGAGGGATAGTGGTGAGAAAAATGCACTCTGCATCTGCTCAGGTATACTTTTCTATTAAAATGAGTCATTGGCACTGAGCCTGCTGAGCTGCAGCATAGTTTAAGCTACACTAAAAGCAATTCAAAACATAAAATCCCTGACAAATTGGATACTGAATTCACTGTTCCAGTAAGAACACTAAACTGAAGAGAGCTAATTCAGCATCAGCTTCATAATGTACTTTTAGGAAATCTTATAATATGTGCTTCCTGTTCAGGTTTTCATAGAACACCACTCTTGGGTCAAGCAGACTTTGGCCTGTTCAAATTTATCAATGGCCTTCTGGGAGCGAGAGGCTGCTCCTGTGTCCTTTAGAGAGAGAAATGCCTTGTAGGCTTGAGCTCACTCTACCCTGCAGGTATTTGGGTGCTGTTAATTGTACTCACAGCACACTTTGATCCATCCGGACTTTATAGGTTTGGGTCAGTAGCTGAAACCCCAGGGCCAAATCCAGCTCCTAAGAAGTACCCACTGGCCCCTAGCTGCCAAACCTAAGGTCAAGTGGTGGATGGAGGGTGCTGTGGCTTTGGCACGGGGGCTTGCTCACTTTCCATTTTTAGGAGGGCAACCTTCCCCAATCTGGTGTCTTTCAGATGTAATAGACTACAATTTCCATAAGACCAAGCCAGAATGGCCAAATAATTTGGAGGGAAAGGCTGGCACAGGTGATGCGGGCCAACCACAGACACACACTCATTGCTCAAGGCAGCACTTTCACTAAACTCGTTGCCAAGCAAAATGACAGATGATCAGAATGGAGGTGAGAGGTGTGTGATGCTGCTTCGAGGCTGGAGACTGAGAACCCTATGAAACTCTGTCAACAATACAGTCCTACATGTTTGTTGTGTTGCTTGGTTAATTTTGGGGGGTGGGGGGTGTCACTCTACACAATACATAGGAACAAACTTGGATTTCCTGTGTGTTCACTTTCCTGTGAGCTGCACCTAATTGTGTGTCTCTGGTGAGTATACCTGCATGATGCACATACTTCAGACACATTTGTCTCATTCATGTTGCATTTTGTAGGTTTGTGACTAAGATTTGTATTTATTTTTAGTGTATGAAATGGCCCAGGGTAAGGAAGAAATTGGCCAAGCACAACTGCTTTGCAATTATTCTTTTTAAACTATTCCTAGTCAACGTTGGATTCCCCCCCCCCCAAATGGATGGACACATTTGCATATGATTTTTGTGTGTGTGTTTTAAAAAGAAATGGCAAGGAAATATTAGCATTATTGTATATATGTCCAAACCAGCACAAATGTGTTTGCACCATTTATAATGAAAATTTGGTTTTTAATTTTTAATTTTATTTAGATCTGCATCTCTAGTCATCAGTTGTGCAAGAGAGCAGCCCATGGGAAGCGTTTAGGTGGAACAAAGATCTCTCACTAATTGATAATAGAGGAGAGAGAAGAAGAGAAGATTTTATTTTTTAAAAAAGAAACAGGATTGAACAGTCTCGGTTCCCCAGAGATACTTATCTCACTTGTGGAGCAGATGTTTGCTTTCAAAGGAAGCGGGGGGGGGGAGAGAGAGGAAGGGGAAAGAGTTGTAAGCAAATCCCTGCCCTTAGAGAGATGACCCGCCATGAAGACAAATAAAGCACTTCTTCTGGCTTTCATTAGGACTTATTTACTATGAAAAAAGCCAAGTCAAAAACAGCCACCAGTGACCAGCTTGCCTACGAAAATAGATGCAGAAATAATTATGAAGGCAATTGGACAAGTTTCTAATTTAAAGGTAGCTAGAATTCATAAGAATAATTACAGTGGTACCTCGGGTTACATACTGTCAAGGCTGCCTCAAGTCTTAGCTCACAAAAGACCAACGCCTACGTCTTCTTGTATACAAAGGTGTTTATTGCAGTTCATGGTTTGCTTGACATCCTAGGCGCGCAGCCTTACGTCTTTTACGCTAGACCGCCGAAGTCCCCTCTGAGTCACTCCCTCCTCTGCACCAATTTAAGAGACTTGCGCTGCTCCACCTCTTTCTCTCTTTCCTTTTCCGCAGGGTCCTTCTGCCCCCTGGGGTTGCGCCCCTTCTGGATTCCTGGGACGCGGACTCCCCCGACTGCTCTTCCCCCTCCTGCGGGCTTTGGGACCTGGCCCCTCCTCCGGGCTCCCTGCACTTCCGCGCGCATCTACAATTGAACGCGGCGCGCGCGCCACACCTCAAACGCTCCCATTGACAGTTACACTACTCCCTTCACTGCTCCCTCCCCTTCCGGGAGGGCGGCTTGCTCTGACCCCCTCCTCTCTCTGCTGCTGGAGCTGCTTCCTCTGACACACTGGAAACTCCACCCCTTCGCTGCACTTTGGTGGGGAGGCTGGTCCTGACGCCCAGCTGCCACTTTGGGATCCTCCGCTGGCACCCTGCTCCTGACACTTCCCCCCAGGGGCTCCCTGGCCCTGACCACCGGCGCCCCTTCTGGGAATCCTCTGATTCGCTGGAAAGACTCATGGAATCCCTTGAGTCATTGTCATCCTCTTCCTCGCTGGCTTGGAATTCCTCCCCCTCGCTCTCCATCTCCTGCCTACCCTGTGCCTCTCTCTCTGAACCCCTGACACATACGCTTCAGGTTACAGACTCCGCTAACCCAGAAATATTACCTTGAGTTAAGAACTTTGCTTCAGGATGAGAACAGAAATCGTGCAGCGGTGGCGCAGTGGCAGCAGGAGGCTCCATCAGCTAAAGTGGTGCTTCAGGTTAAGAACAGTTTCAGGTTAAGAACAGACCTCCAGAACAAATTAAGTTCTTAACCCGAGGTACCACTGTATGTTTCAGCTAACCCAGATGATAAAACAGCCAGATCTTGTACTCAGCTTCCACCCAAAGGAGCCATTCCACATTACAGTTGGGGGGGGGCATTTAAAGCAAGACATTAAAACACACAGCTAAATGTAATGTGTAAATATTACAGAAACAAATGTCATGGAGCGGCAATAAGTGCCTCCATCCTGCTTAGGGTTCACACCCGGGCCAACCTAAGTTTGTCTTTCTGCAATGTTTAAAATGGCCCTAAATAGGCAGCCCTGAACACGCACACACCCTTTACCAATTCCCAAGTCTGGCACAAGATTAAATGAGATAAACATTGTAAAGCCCTTTGGGGGGGGAGGCTTAAGATGTCTGCAGTGTGTGACTTCCGGTGCTAACTGCCATAGTGGAGGCACACCCGCATTTGTGGGGATCGCTTCACTGAGTATAAACAAGGATGATTGAGGGTAATTGTGCTTGTAAGCCTCCCCCATGGTTGGGGGGCGGGAGCTACGCTCGCAGTTCACCTGATACCTGGCTCTCAGTTCCAAACGGAATCCAGGAGGCAGGAGGTGCTGAGTTCAAGCGCTTTGCCTATCGGTAACCTTCCGACTCAGCCATTACGAGCAGAAGTTCTTCTGTAGTTTAAGATTTTGACTGATTTGGAGTTAATCTACAGGCATGTTCTGGACCAAGGAGATAAACTGCTAAATAAATCAGCCACGGAGTGATAATGATTTGATTTGGAGAAAGGACTTTCTTTGGAGCATGTGAGTTTTGACTGGGGGTGGGCCTTCACTTTTTCTTTATATATACAACATGGTTGCAGCTTCAATGATTCAGCGACCCTCCCTGAATGTTAATTCTGTGTGAGAATGTTGATATTATTGACTGCACCAAATTTCCACTGGAACGCAATTAAAGTTAAGGCCCTTTGATCTACCGTAGCCCTGGAGGGGCATGCAAAAGTTCTAAAGACCTGAGTCCTCTCCCAATACCAGCTTTCTGCTTTTGCAGTGAGTCCGCCTACAAACATCCCACTCTTGGAGAATGCAGGCTGCTAGAAACATTGCCAACAGAAGCAATTCGAGAAAAAAGCTGGAGAAGAGTGGGGGTGCATTGTATTTCTCGAAATACTTTATTATTGTTCTTCTAGCATGTAAGAAAACCATTTCCTATTCACCTCCATGCTGAGGTGCCAGCTTAAATAAAACAGGGGATGCAGGTAAGCCTCGCCCCACATAACTGATCACAAGACACACCCTTTGAATGGCAATGCCCAACAACGGGGGGGGGGGGCTGGCCCCCTCAAATATTTTATGGCGGAAGCGAAGAGACCTTGATCCCTAGGAGTTGGCTCCTATGCCCATGGAATTGCCTTGTTTCTTCAAACAAGATCAGAACATTCCCAGAGAGGAATTTTAAAGTACCCACAAGAAGACTTTAGCAAACTCTTTGTTTTTCTTCGTTAGCAGGACTCCTGGAGAAGCCGTGCAATTCCGGGGAGAAGGGGAGGGATATTAACCATGAAATCGGCTACAAAAGAGAACCAGCATTCCTTTGATTGACAGGATGGCTGAAATGAATAGCAGCAGCATGTACTTACCCCACAGCGCAAAGAGAAGATGTTGCACCAGCCATAAAGCATGAATCTCCATCCTGAATCTTTCAAGAGCAATAAGCGCAGCCCGCAATTTTGGGGAGAAGCAGCACACATTGGGGATGAAAAGAGGCGGTTCTGGAGCAGCCCTCAATTCCTTTTACCAAGCCCCTTTTCTCACAGGGAGGCTGTTCTTCCTTCCACAACATCAAGTCCCGAGCAGCAACTTGGTGTTGGCGGCAGCTGGGCGAGGAAAGGGGGATCTTCCTTGCACAAAATCCCACCCTTCTGCTCCTCCCATCAACGAGATGGCAGCAGCAGCAGCAGCTGCTCGCAATGGCTTTTCCTCGCTGCTTTCTCCTCCCCCAGCCCCCAGGCTGCTTTAGCGGGAGAAGGATGAGGATGTCGCAGCTATTCTAGGATCCGGGGGGGGGGGGGGAGGAAAATGCAGCTGGAAGCGGACCTCCCAGGCACAACCAGGAGAGATGTCCGCTCACGGGATGCGGAGATCTATCTATCTATCTATCTATCTATCTATCTATCTATCTATCTATCATCTACACATGCAGCCAGAAAAGGACAGCAAGAGGAAGAAGAGAGCTGGGTGGCTCTTCCCTGTGAAGGGGTGTGCTCTCTCTCTCGTTCTCTTTCTCTCTCTCTTGGGCAAAGTACAGGGCAGTTACAGTTGTCACAAGATAGCTCTCCAACAACTTTGTCATCTCAGGCGTGAGATGAACTTATCTCAATGTAGCTTGCCAGAGGACGAGGGTGGAGGTCTTCTGACAACATCGTGATTTATCACTGTGGGATGAGTTGGTATGCTAACACCTGTTTGCAACAAACCTGTTAGGGGCATTAAAGAATCAACTTCAAGGAGCATTTAAAATACTGTAGAGGGGTTGTTGTTGTTGTTTTAAAAAGGGCTTGTCAGCACATTGATGAACAACACATATTGAGTAAAGGACTGTCCTTTTAAAAAATAGTTTCAGTCCAGTGACTAATATTTGGGCAGGGGTCAGAGGTGCCAAGGAAAGCAATTTCCTGTGGATTTAAGAGCTGCAGTGAACATGATACAGAGACTTTGATTTCTGCAAGGGGCTTGCACTACCCCAGTATAATTTTTTTATTTCTTTGAATAGCTGAGATCTTGCCAGAAAACTGCCCTTAAAATTTCCCTGTTCTCTCCCTGTGGTTTTCCATTACAAGGGCTGTTGTTGATCTATTTTTTTTAAATGTACATGTTTGCAGTTTGGGTGAGGTTTGTATATGTTTTCATTGATGCGCCTTTTAAGACTGTTACATTTCCCACCATTGTTGTGCTATGAGAACTTCAGAGGGGGCAGTGCTTACTCAGGTTTAGTTTTGTCTGCAAATAAATTGCTGGAGGCAATGTGTTTTGCAGCGTTTGAGCTTATTTACAAATATACAGGCTGCACATAGGTGGCAGTGCTCTAACGTACACTCATGTCCATTGCCCCACATCAGGAAACTTCCCAACATTAACCACAAAGTAAGTTGGTCAGCCAGAGTCCTCATTAATTGAATCTGCCTTGCAGTGGACATTTGGAGAGAACAAAGGCAAGGGATCACAACTGTGATTTTAATAACTGGACTCCCTGACTGGCCACACTACTAACCACACTTGTCTCAAAGGTGGTTGAATGAGCACCAGCCTACCACCAGCCTGAGCCCCATGTCCCCACCAGCTGTGAGCTGCAACGCAAGCAGCTGCACTTGGCTGAGCACCCCGTGGCCAGGCCAGCACCCTGCTGCAGCTGCAGAGAACCACTGTTATGCCACTTTCCCTTTATTTTATTTTATTTTATTTTATTTTATTTTAAATGGAGCAGCTGCCACACTTCAAACAAAAGAGAAAGTAATGGCAGCAGCTACCCAGCCACGGCTGCCAGCACCTAGCAGTTGGGAGCATCAGAGCATGCAGGGCCTGCCTAAGACTGAGGCTGAACATGTGGAGAGATATCTTACCTGCTCCTGCCCAAAGTCTCACCCAGTCATGTGTCATGATTGTTGCTGAGACGTGTGGGACTTTGCCAAAGGGTTGGTGACATCTTGTGAAACTTTGGCAAAGCCTCATGGGATTTGGGCCAGCTTCTCTGAGGTGCCTGTGGCAAGTAGCAGCTGCCAAGGGGGCTGGCCCTAGGAGATTTTTTAAATATATGACACTATTGCATTACTCCTGAAAGAAGAACAAAGGATAATTATTTGCTTCTGGGCAGTCTACTGTAGATCCCAAGTAAGAGGTAGAAGTGCTGGAGAGAGAATTTCCTTGAGAAGGAAGCCCTCACTGGCAGGGTCATCCCTGACTGAAAGTTCATGGTGGTTTATACTCTGGTGGTGAGTGCAGAGTTTACGGTGGTTGTTTTTGACCTGGCTTCCCTGGCAGAGGAAACAGGCAATGGGCTGGTAGTGAGGGAGAGCATCCCTATTGGGGCACTGCAGAAAGGGACTTTTGCCATTGTTATGAAAGGATTATACAGTGGTACCTCACAAGACGAATGCCTCGCAAGACGGAAAACTCGCAAAACGAAAGGGTTTTTGGTTTTTTGAGTTGCTTCGCAAGACAATTTTCCCTATGGGCTTGCTTCGCAAGACGGAAACGTCTTGCAAGTTTGTTTCCTTTTTCTTAAAACCGTTAATACAGTTGTGACTTGACTTCGAGGAGCAACTCATAGCACGCAGTGTGGTAGCCTTTTTTGAGGTTTTTGAAGACTTTGGTGATTTTTGAAGCTTTTCCAAAACTTTTCCGACACTGTGCTTCGCAAGACAAAAAAAACCGCAAGACGAAAAAACTCGCGGAACGAATTAATTTCGTCTTGCGAGGCACCACTGTATTAGGAAAGCGGGTGATACAGCTCCCATTCTGAGCCTCCAGAAAATGAACAGGGTGCTGGATGTCCACCATCCACACCAAATTGCCTATTAATTTTAAATAGCCACCAACCCTGTGGCTCTACTGAGAGACATACTTCTCCTCTGGCAGAATAGGAGGATCCTGGCAACTGTTGTAACCATAACTGGTATACACTTCAGGACAAGCTGAAGATGGGGAAGGGGAGGTTAGGGACTTAGGGGGTACTCATGGGACATCAGATGACATCGAAGGGACAGCCGACGTTCAGTGGGTCTAGGAGGAGCGGCCCCTGTCCCCACAGAGACAGCGGACTTTCAGGTTGGGGGAACAGTGGGACTTGCACCCCAGGCAACTGAGGCAGGCAAGAGAATGCAGCTCGGCTCACTAGTGACCAGGTGGAGATCATGGGGATTTTTGGGTCTGGGAGGAGGTTGTGGTCATTTAGTTGGATAAGGCTAAGGGCAGGTGAGGATCACATGCCTTTGCAAGTGGGGAGGCATAGCTGCTCAGCTGGAGCAAACCCAGACACGTCCATCCAGATTGGAAGGATAAATGAGAAGCAAGCCAGAGACTCTGGGTCTACGCAGCTTTCTCCATTGATGGACCATGACTTGGCTGCTTTGGGGAACTCCACTGGACGATGACTTTGGGACTGACCCACAGATGTTCCAACCCTGGACCTTCTGCAGAGGTGCGATCCTGACCTTACAGTTTGACTTCAGACCTTGCTTGTTGTATTGGGCCTGGACTGTCTGACTACTCTCTGGTGTTGCACTTGGGACCGTGTGCACTATCAGGACTTGCCTCGGGGTACACCAGGGTTCAGGACATCCTTCTTCTTAACCTTGGTGCATCATCCTTTCCAGTGCTAAAGGATTAAAATGTGTTTGCTCCTTCCCCTCTTTTGTCTAATTAAAATGAAATATAAAAAAATCCCAGTGTACATGTGAACAGGGACTGTTTCTTCAGTCCCAAAAAATCAATGGAAGAAAGACTAATAACCATAGGAGCCAACTCCTAGGGGCCAAGGCCCCTTTGGACCCCACATAAAATATTTGAGGGGGCTCCCCCCCCCCCCGTTGATGGGCATTGCCATTCAAGTAGTGTGTTCGCACCATGTTTTGTGATTGATTATGCAGGGCAGGGATTACCTGTCCCCCAATATTTTATTCAACTTGGAACCTGTTACGGAAATTACCGGGGGGGCCCACATCTTTAAAGTTAAATATTACAAATATTATGCCTGAATGTATCCTTTCAACTTGACAGCTCAGGGAAGTTACCTAGCTTTAAAAATAATATAAAATCATCTCCTTTCCCAGTTTCCTTCTTTCCAAAGCTATTTTCCCCTTGAAAAAGGACTCTAGGAAGTTCCCAGAGGTGACAATTGCTGGGCTCATTTTTAGCCAAAGGAAGCCAAATCTCATCACCTGACTCGCCTCAGGCTCCAGACAGGCAAAGGAACTTCTATTGTACTTTTGGGTGGTGGGTACTTAAGACATATTTGTCTATGCTAATCTTACACCTGAGTCTTGCCCTGCCATGTCTGCTTATGCTAATCTTGTACCAAGGACTTGTCTGGACATGTTTGCCAAGGTTAACCCCTCCCCTTTTTGTGACATGTCAGCGATGTAGCAATGATGCTGTACGAACTGTATTCTGGGATATGGTGGGAAAGTTTTAAAAGTCTTTGTCACCCCATCCTCGGGGTTCAAATTTGCTCTTTGAACCTATTGCACAATAAACTCTGGTCTACAGCTATTTGCTCCAGTTGGTGGCTGGAATCCTTCCTTTATTCCGCAGGGACCCGCGGGCTCTGCCCGACGAGCTGGGTGACTGAGCAGCCTCGCACCTAGATTTTTCCGTAACAAACCCGTTAATAACTAATATTTAAGACAGAAATATTTAGATGTGATGCAACCATGCGGCTCTTACCCAATATTTTGACACCTAGTTACTGTATTTTCGCTCTATTGGACGCACCGGACCATAGGACGCACCAGACCATTTTTTTTCCTGTTCTCCCCCTCTAAGTCAAGGTGCATTCTGTGCGTTCAAGGTGCGTTCACCCGAAGCCTCCGGAGCCCAGCAGGAGTTCCCGCTGGGCTCTGGAGGCTTTGGGTTCCTTTCCACCTGCTCTTTGAGGCTGGTGGGGGGAGCGCTGCTTTCCCCCACCGCCAGCCCCA